GCAACCCACAACCTGTGCCTTGAATACAATCTCAGTGTATGAATCTACATTTCAAAGTCTTGAAATAAAAATTCATATTAGAAGCAAGATACTACATGCTACATATCACACAGTTTCCGGAATAATATGTTACATTGCATAAATGTTCAAAGATGCTCACACAATAAGCAACATGCTCTCGAATGGCAGTGTTATCAGCCACACTTGCCAATTTCATGCAAGAAAGAATATGGAGAAAACCACCTGCAGCATTTGCAGTTCATGTTCACAAGGGGGCAGACTCGTCTAAAGAATAAAAATCTATTGTGGCTCCCAATCAGAGCCTTAAAAAAACCTGTTTCATCCATGAGTATACTTGGTGTCTGGGTGTGGTTCATCTACAATTGTGTTTGTATGTGAGGGGTTGTGATTGTGTATAATGTTGTGACACTTAACTCTTCATGGGAACTGTTATTAAGCATAACTTTACATCTGCAGAAAATTTGCATTTTATTCTTTGTGTGTGCAATGTGCCACATTTATGCTGTTGTTTCTTCACTGGGTATAATGTGCAAACTGGAATTGCAGATCTGAAGTTGGAGAACACTTTTCTCTGGTCAGAGGTTATTAGACTAGGAAGGGTGATTGATCTGATCTTTCCAAGGCAAGAGATTGCCCCGGTTACACTGTTCAAACAGGATTTTATATAAGTTTGTGCAGGTAATGAGTTGTGTATCTTACCACCTCCAGTGCACATTCTCTAATCTGATCCTGCAGCTTGCTGTGGTATCTAGTTCTGAATCTAATCCTGTCTTCTGTCCCTGGAAGTGTCCAGCAAAAGCAGTATATCGGCTGTAAAGAAGAAAAGCCATTAAGCCTACTAAGAGAAAGATTTTTCATTCGCTGTTAAAAGGCGCAAACTCCTGCGCCTTATCTGCAATAAAAAAGCAAGCCACTTGAAAACACCGCTATGAAACAAATCACAAAAGCTTTTCATCTGAATGGCCTCCTTGATTAGAATTAAGGTTTTGTTAAGAAAAAGAGAAATCAACCCATAATGCTTTTGCCATTTTCTGGAGCTGAAACAGCAAATTAAACAAAGGTTGTATGTGCCTTCTGCATGGCTCTCAGATTTTAGGAACTTTGAAACTCTGGCTACTCTTGCTTTTGATCACTACGTGAGCTCTGAAGATAAAATGTAAGCATTCACTGATCTTCTCTGAATGGAATCATAGAATTGGAAGGGACTCCAAGGGTCATCTAGTCCAACCCACTGCAATGCAGGAATCCTGCCCTGCAGGGTAGGCTCGAACCACCAACCTTCTGGTTAACAGTCAGACGCACTGGCTCACAGTGCCACCTCTGTACACTCAAAGTTATGTGTATTTAGAACACTCAAAGAACCCTGCTGGATCTGATCAAAGGTCAGCAAACTGGTCAGCAAACTTTTTCAGCAGGGGGCCAGTCCACTGTCCCTCAGACCTTGTGGGGGGCTGGACTATATTTTTTTGGGGGGAATGAACGAATTCCTATGCCCCACAAATAACCCAGAGATGCTTTTTAAATAAAACCACACATTCTACTCATGTAAAAACACCAGGCAGGCCCCACACATAACCCAGAGATTCATTTTAGATAAAAGGACACATTCTACTCATATGAAAACACGCTGATCCCCAGACCGTCTGTGGGACGGATTTAGAAGGCGATTGGGCCAGATCCAGCCCCCGGGCCTTAGTTTGCCTGCCCTTGGTCTACTTGCTCCAGCATTTCAGATACTCTGCTCTCCTTATGCTATAATAAATCTGTTAGCTTTTGAGATATCGGTAGAGATGGGGGAGAAATTCAATTCAGTTTATATTTAAAGGTGAACCAACCTAATCTGCTCTTTCCAAAACAATATACAAGCCAAAACACAGCCATGCTGTGAAGGAGCGTCTCCACCTCCTCGTTCTGCCTGGACTCTGAGGTCCAGCTCCAAGTGCCTTCTGGCGGTTCCCTTGCTGTGAGAAGTGAGGTTACAGGGAACCAGGCAGAGGGCCTTCTCGGTAGTGGCACCTGCCCTGTGGAACGCCCTCCCAGCAGATGTCAAGGCAATAAGCAACTATCTTACTTTTCAAAGACATCTGAAGGCAGCCCTGTTTAGGGAAGTTTTCAATGTTTGATGCTGTATTGTGTTTTTAATATTCAGTTGGAAGCCACACAGAGTGGCTGGGGAAACCCAGCTAGATGGGCGGGGTATAAATTATTATTATTATTATTATTATTATTATTATTATTCAAGAGTCACATTTTTCTGAATTTTGCAATGCCGTTCTCCAGCCAAGGATTGCATACAAAATGCATATATTACAATAAAGCATGCATAAAAATGCATTTTACTAAGAAAAATTGCAATGGAAAAATCCACAAATGTGCAAGATGTGCTTAGTGGGAGAAATTTGAACTAAAGGGCTGAATAATTTTCAGGAGGACTTTTAAAAATGCAGATTGGTGTAGAAATGTGGAGAAGAGTGCTGAAGACTGGAAAACGGAGAAACAGAAATTGACAGATGGGCCTTTGCATAGATACCACAAGCCTCTCTGATATTTATTTTCTGCAACAGACTAAGTTGACTTTGATTGTTGTTACAGAATTTGGGAGGGAATTTCCTCTTCTCCACTCTGTGGACTTGTGTTCTTTAAGTCCCTTTATGCAAGCTGAAAGCAGAGCCACTCCAATATTTTATTTTAATCAAGTACCTTGGAGCAACAGACAAACCATTTGCAATAAAACCCAGTTGCCCTTTCTATGTATCTTTGGCAGTTTTTGTAAGTGCAACACCAGAAGAGATATTTCTTCTTTCCCACTGACAAATTGCTAGTTGTGCGAAATCCAGACGTCTTTGTCCAAGGCTGCACTTCTGATGTGAAGAACCCACATTTGTCCCAGCGCTCAGAACATCCGTGTTTTGGGAAATGCAATGTTTGTTTCCGAGTGAGGGCATGCATTGTGGTCATAAGTGCAGTGTGGATTGCGAAATGGGCTTGTCCTAGTGTCGTGTTGCCTGCCGCACAGTGCCCATGACATCATGGCTGATGAATTATAACACTCCCCAGCCCCCATGCAGGTGCCATTTAAATGATATATTTTATTTTACATTAAACACAGCAGCAAGAAGAAACATGAAACATGAATGGACAAAACTAAAAGAGCTTAAAGCCAAATATCATGAGTTAATAGAATCTGTTGTTTCACAGGTGATCATAAGAATCAGTCTCCAGGGCCTGTTGCATGCATACCAGCCGGATCTTGAAAATAATAATAGCACCATGCGGATTCCTACAGGAGTGTATCATTTTGTGACTGGGAAATGTTCTGTTTTGCAAATGCTATTGTGTGTGTGTGCGCACGTGCATGCATGCACACACACAAACACACAGAGTGCTTTTTTCTGGGCGTACACAGGGGTACGCATACCCCTAAACACTTTGTGAATCTATGCTTGGCCTCACTGAGGGGCAGTATTTCAATATGAGTAGGAAAATGAGAGTACCCCTAAACATTTTTTTAAAGAAAAAAGCACTCTGTGTGTGTAGTGTCATGGAGTGTATTATTTTTAATAAGCTTCTATTATTATTACAGTGGTACCTTGGGTTACATACACTTCAGGTTACATACGCTTCAGGTTACAGACTCCACTAACCCAGAGATAGTACCTTGGGTTAAGTACTTTGCTTCAGGATGAGAACAGAAATTGTGCTCTGGCGGCATGGCGGCAGCAGGAGGCCCCATTAGCTAAAGTGGTGCTTCAGGTTAAGAACAGTTTCAGGTTAAGAACGGACCTCCGGAATGAATTAAGTACTTAACCCGAGGTACCACTGTATTATTATTATTATTAGTCACTTGTTACCTAACACAATTCATTTAAAAACATAATACTGTAGAGGGGGGAATCATATAATTTTAAACAGTTCATTTAATTTTTAGTAAATGAAGGTTTTTTTCCAACAAAAGTTTATATACCGTATTTTTCGCCCCATAGGACACACTGCCCTATAGGACTCACCTAGTTTTTTTGGGGGGGAAATAAAGGGGAAAAAATTATTTCCCCCCAGGCACGGGGCTGGAGCTTCCCCCGACCCCAGCCCCCAGAAGAGCCTGCTATCCACAAGCCTAGGGAGCCGCGCCGGTCTACCCAGGGTTGCGGACAGCTGTGCGAAGCCCGGGCGCGCTGAGGCTTCCTAATGGAGGCAGCTCTGCGCAACCCTCTGGAACCCAGCGCAGCTTGGCGCCGGGCTCCGAAGGGTCGCGCAGAGCTGCGCGGAGCCCGGGAGCACAGGCAGCTCTGCGCGCCCCTCCGGAGGCCGGCTTGGCTTGGCGCCAGGCTCCGGAGGGTTGTGCAGAGCTGTGCGGACCCCGGGAGGGCAGGCAGCTCTGCGCGACCGTCCGGAGGCCGGCGCGGCTTGGCGCCGGGCTCTGGAGGGTTGCGCAGAGCTTCCTGAAGCCTGGAGAGCGAGAGCCTCTCGCTCTCCAGGCTTCAGCGAAAGCCTGTATTCGCCCCATAGGACACACCCACATTTCCCCTTCATTTTTGGAGGGGAAAAAGTGCGTCCTATAGGGCGAAAAATACGGTAATTATGCTGAAGGTCCTAATTTTTAAGGGCTGGATTCAACTAAATGGTTGCACTTGCATTGAATCCTATTGCTGCAATAGGGCATTTCTCCCTCTTCTCCCTGTGCACTGAACTCCAATGAGCTCTGGGGGATTGAGAAAAACCCCAGAGTATCCTGTGGTGGGAAGAGTGGGGAAATAATTCCATATTAGAAACATAAATGCTTGCGCCGATGGAACGATGGCCTTAGCATGACACTGAGTTCTATTCTTAAGGCCTGAGCTTTTCCCTGAAGAGCACCGTCCCTGTTTAGAATATACAAAAGCTGTGCTAGAGACTATTTACACAACTTCCTGCTATGTCCCATTGTTTCCCCTGCAGGATGAGGTCCTAATCTGAGTTGCTTCTCTTTTAGGGGACGGAGAACAGATGAGGAAAAATACTGTGAGGAGACAGCAAACTCGGAACTGATGAAGCGGCCTCCTCAGCCAATGTTTGCTCTTCTCACGAGGAAAAGGAAAGAGCAATGATTACAAATACATGGAAAAACACATATCTCAGGACACTGTGCATTGGAGTCAGAGAGCAGAGGGGGCAGCTAATGTGTAACTTAGGTTAGGCAACCAGGGGGATAAAATAGGAGCACAAATTGTCACTTGGAGTCAGATCCTGAGCGCAGGAAACGGCAGAAGATCCACTTCACAAGACAGTGAGTGTGAGAGAGGTGTATATACTCATTTGCAGACCTTATAATTGTTGAGGGGGAAATGATGCAAAAGGGAGTGTCTAAATATTACTGTTATTCGTATTATTATTTCACCCTGTTGCTAGGAAATAAGTGTCTATTCTTCTCACAAATTCATATGTGTTCCAGTTTGACGTTCTCTCCCCCTCTTCTTAATAATGCTTTTATACAAATGTATGTTGAGACCACACATGGAATACTGTGCACAGCTCTGGTTGCTGCACCTCAACAAGGGATGTAGCCATGGCTGCAACTTGGATAGCTTAAAAAAGAGATTTAGATAGGTTCATGGAATATAAGGCTATAAATAGTTGTGATGGCAGCCTGCCTTGGAATTTCACTTGCTGGTGATCAGGAGTAGGAGATGCTGTTCTGCTCATGTCCTGCCTGTGGCGCTATGGGCTTCCCAGCAGAATCTGGAAGGCAGGAGTCATAAGAGAATGCTGGACCAGTGAGACCTTGGAACTGATCCACTAGGATTCTTCATATATGCTCTAAGATAATGTTTGTGCATTATTTTATGTCCTAAAGCTAACAAGGTTAATTGTTATTTTTCTCAAAGATGGCAAGAAACAGGTTAGCTTAGTGCAGTACATTAATATGCAACATATACCTTTGCAGCCGTAAGGCAGAATCAATGTTTTGCAGAAGTCAAGAAATAACTCCCCTAATAATAATAATTATTATTATTTATACTCCACACATCAGGCTGGGTTTCCTCAATGGCCCTTGAGATGTACAGATTGCAAATAAATGTAAAGAGAGGTAGTAAAAATGGAAAGGAGTTAAATATTTTAACACCTATGTGAAGTTAGATGAAATAGCCAAGAAGCCGATTGAATTTTTTTTATTTACTGTGGATGTTCAGTACAGCAAAAATGAGAGGAACAGTCATGGGAAGAGAGAAAAGGATGGTGTCAGAAGAGGTGAAAAGGCTGTGGTCTTCAGTTAGGAAGAGTCTTGCGGTGAAGTGTGGGATGTTCTGAGTGGGAAATTGTTGTGGTGCTTTCGGTCTTTACACTATCAGTCTGAGAAAGATAACCAAACCTTACTCAAAAGCTGAGACCTGTGCAAGAAAAAGGAGGAAAACATCCTGGTTATCTGCATAACGAAAGATTCTCAGCCGACAAAAGTAACTAGGCTGCTTCATGCATTTAAAATAATAAATAAATGGCATCTTGGATAGAAAAGGGCTGCAGAGTTGTAATTCTGACCTTACCTCAGAGGTCTGACAGATTCTCTGCCCTGCCTTAGTGGCCACAGAAGGGGCTCTGAGGATTGTCTAGTTCAAGGCAGGAATATGCAGCTGTCCCATACGGGGATCAAACCTGCAACCTTGGTGTTATCAGCACCACACTGTAACCAACTGAGCTATTAGGCATGGATGTCTGCAGGAGAAGCCCTGTGTATATGGGCCTCTGCCCACAATGATCAGTCTTCCAGAGCGTGTAGATGGAGTGGCTCCTTATACACTGCAAAAAAAAAAAGTGTTGCAACAGGGGTAGGGGAATGAAGACTCAGATTTGCATAAAACATTGTACAAGCTAATGTAGAGATGCAAGTTTAGAAATGGTTCTTCTAATTAAAATAGAAATGTGGCACATCTCATCATAGGAGGAAGACTACGACCAGATGTCCTGTGTACCGGCTGACCCTGCTGTGCAACTTCAGGGTCCCTCCTCTCTGCTCAGATTTGTTTATTTTTTTAATCTTTAAACCAGACTTGGCCTGGACAAGTCTTCAAACAAAGGACCATATTCAGGTTCTAGCTGGTACTAACTGGCCCGACCATCTCTGTTGGGTGATGCAAAGGCACAGCACTAACAGAGATATTTCGGAAAGGGTCTTCTCTTTTCAAAGGTCATATTAAACTACTGCCAGATGGGACACAATAAGTAGGATACAAAAGTAGGATGTTTTTATATGTACTGTAAGCCTCCCAGAGGGGCTGGGAAAATAATTAATAAATATTATTATTATTATTATTATTATTATTATTATTATTATCATCATCATCATCATCATCATCATCATCAAGGATTGTGAACCAGCTGCAACTGCCAAGTGGTTTGAGGAAATAATAGAAATAGTATTAATCAAACAGTATTACCATTGAATCTCTTGGGAAATTTCTGAGAATACTGAATTTCAGAATATCTGGATTTTTGTACATAATGTCCACATAATGTGGAATATATTTGTTCTAGGCATTTTGCATCTCCAACAACAGTCAGTAATTTCAGGTTTTTGTTGTTGTTTTTAGTCTAAGTGGTGCCATATACCAGTGAGTAATTTATAAAAATGTTCTTAAAAATTCATGCATAAATTAAAAAGGGGAATTTAAAAAAGCAAAGAGATGCAGCTCTTACCCATTGCGTAGGTGACCAGGTTTCACTATTGCTTTGAGTACAGAAAGTCACAAGTTCATTCTTGTACAGCCTACATAAATAAGGATAATAGAATCATAGAGTTGGAAGGGGTGCCCAGGGGTCATCTAGTCCAACCCCCTGGATTTCAGGTCATAGGGTAATAATAATAATAGTATCATCATCACCATCATCATCCCTATCTGAGATCTTTAGGACTTGCTGCCAAATAGCCAGTTATGAGCTAAATAGACCCATGGCGTGATTCTTTATAAGACAGCTTCATATTTTCACATGATTCCTGGTTGAGCAGGAAAAGGAAGAAAGCTTACAGCATCTAGTAGTTGTGATATAGAAAGCAGCCAGATTCCCAGGTTCTAAAGCAGAGGTTCCCCTTGTTTTTCAGGCCACTATCCCCTTGGTTCCATAAACTCATCCCCAGTGCTCCCTACCCTACCCTACTCTACCCTACCATATAAAAAGCATTATTCAGAATAGCAGCCTGCACTGGGGAAGTTAACAACACAATGAAAGTCAATGAAAGCACATTTCTTCATAATCCAATTAAAACTATTTGGCTTGATTATTTCAATAAAACTGATGAGCTTGATCCAATGATAGTCTTTTGCACCTCCAGTGCCCCCTTTGGGAACCACTGATCTAAAACGTGACTCAAATACACGATGTGATCAGTCAGATACAGCTTTTTTGCATAGTAACCCTTAGATCTGATCGTGGTTTTGTTAACTGATACGGGGGAGCACAAGCCTTTTAATCTCAGTCTGGGCCAATAAGCCTAGCAAGCCACAGACTAGAAGCATTTCCATCGAGTGGCGTAGTGTGGGGGGTGCAGGGGGGGCCGGCCGCACCGGGCGCAACATCTGGGGGTTAGGGTTAGGGGGCGCAAATCCACGGGTTAGGGGGCGCAAATTACTTGCCTTGCCCCGGGTGCTGACAACCCACGCTACGCCACTGTTTCCACCCAGGGCAGTACCCCCTGTTAACTGGTTGTGGCTTGAGTAGCCATTTTACCTGGCAGAAATAATTGCTTGGCAAACTCACAAAACTTCCCTTTGTTGCTTTTTTCCTTCTTCAACAGACATCGCTGAAGTTGCAGTCAATCATGAACCCTGGAGTGAGTTTTTTGTGCTTCCTTCTCTGCATTACCATTGTGGGCTGTGACCGGGTCTACGTCCACCCATTCTATCTGTTCGACGTGGGAAACCTAACTGGTTGCAAGAAAGTGGAAGACAGGGAACAGCAGGGGAATAATTTTGTCCCCGTCTCAAATTTATCTCACATCAGTTCGGCCCATGAGGAGGGTGTCAGAAACAAGAGCGAGGGAAGAAGTCATTTACGGAGAGAGCTGAGAGACCCAATTTATATTATGGGTGCACGTTTCTATGAACAACTGAGGAAAATGCACAAGGAAGAAAATATTCTTCTGTCCCCCACATTCAGCTACGAGTCCTTGCTAGCCTTCTATATAGGGGCCTCTGGTGAAACAGCAAAGGAATTGCAGATTTTTTTAGGATTTGACTCCTCATCCGTTAATCCAAACTGCACCTACAGAATTGATGGGCGCAAAGTATTCTCTGTACTGAGCAGCATTGCTAAAAGTCCATTTCACTCAAAAGAAGATGATCAGCTGTTCTTCTCGAAGTTCTCCTGGCTTTTTTCTGCCCCCGAAATCCGTTTATCCGAGTCCTTTGTCAATGATTTGGTCTTTCCAAACATGAATCTCTTTGTACGAGCTGTGGACTTTACAAACCCCACAAAGGCAGCAGAAGAAATTAATGCTTTTGTCAAAGGCATCCACCATAGTAAGAGTTTGCTGGCAGACATTGATCCAGAAACTAACCTCCTGTTAGCAACTTACACTCATTTCAAAGGTAAGTGAGCAGGGAGAATTCCAACTTGTTGAAACCAGTAGCAATTCTATAGGGAATCAAATTTTCATCAGGTGAACTGAATTTATGTACCCCATAATGCCACGCTGTTCACTTTTTGAGTGTTAAATCTTCTATTCTAACGTGGGAAATCCTCTAACGCGTGTCTGGAAATTTATATCTGTACACTTACAGGTAAGTCCATGTCTTTGATGGCTTGCACATGCTTCCCTAAGACTGTGCTAATGTAAGAATTGCCCAGCAAGGTTTTACACCAGCTGTTTTCAAAGATGGACAGCTAAATGTCATAGGCAATATCACATGCAGTAGCTACTGCCACAGTTTGTCTCTGGCACAGGAAGTCAAAGCCTCGTAGTATACTGCTCTGCAGATTGAATTTCTGTTCCCGCCTACCACAGGAAATAGATATTGAGGGAGCAAGAATTGATTTCATCTGGTTTAAAGGACAGAAGCAATTCCCATAAAAATTATTTCAGTCAATATCTTGCGGCAATGAAATCAGCCTGTCTGCTGTGTTATGTGGACATGTGTGCACGCACATTGATATTTTCATGAGAAACCTTCAGTGAGCCACTCTCTCTACCTTTCCCCCATCTTTCAAAGCAACGATAGCTAATCAGCAGTAGGGATGTGCAAATCAGTGGCGTAGCGTGGGTTGTCAGCACCCGGGGCAAGGCAAGTAATTTGTGCCCCCTAACCCGTGGATTTGTGCCCTCTTACCCGTGGATTTGCGCCCCCTAACCCTAACCCCCAGATATTGCACCCAGTGCGGCCGGCCCCCCCTGCACCCCCCACGCTACGCCACTGGTGCAAATAGGTGAGGAATCTGTAGTGTGCTCCTATAACAATACGCCTTGGCTCACACAACAGTCACTGGAAATTCTTGGAGCATCTAACGGGGCTCCAAAGTCTACTGAAAAAGAAAAAAGCTTCTAAACAGCCAAAGTGCGTGCTTAAAGTTTCTAGTAGGTTTGCAGAGTCAATGGGGTTTTTTTTTTGTTTCTTTTTACACAGCACTAGGTGTATAGAAGGGACACGGGTGGCACTGTGGTCTAAACCACTGAGCCTCTTGGAGTTGCCGATTGGAAGATCAGCGGTTCGAATCCCTGTGACGGGGTGAGCTCCCGTTGCTTGGTCCCTGCTCCTGCCCACCTAGCAGTTCGAAAGCATGTCAAAGTGCAAGTAGATAAATTGGTACTGCTCCGGTGGGAAGATAAATGGCGTTTCCATGCGCTACTCTGGTTTCGCCAGATGCGGCTTAGTCATGCTGACCACATGACCTGGAAAAACTGTCTGTGGACAAACATCAGCTCCCTTAGCCAGTAAAGCAAGATGAGCTCGCAACCCCAGAGTTGGTCATGACTGGACTTACGGTAACTGTTAGGGGTCCTTTACCTTTTTCAGGTGTATAGAATAAGAGGGTCCTCAAGATTCCTTAACTAAAAATCATAGAATCATAGAATTGTTCCACCCATTAGTGATTTCTTCTAGAATAACCCCAAGGAATTATGGATTTTCTCTTTTACCACTCTGCCAAAAAATGGGAGGAGGGTTTAATTGAATTTAACAGTCAATTTTACTGTTTTTATTTTGCTGTTCTTCATTTTTTAAAAAAGTCATATTAAATTGCTGTTGTTAGTCATCTGAATTCTGTTAAAGAAACAGAGTGGGGAGTAAATGTTTTAAATAATGAATTAAAAGAAATTTCCGCCAGTGTGGCACTTTGTGAACCAACCAAATGGATTAAAAAATCAACTCCTTTCTCCCTATAACCATATTCCAATTTTTGTTTTCAGTCTCTGTAAAGGGAGCCTCCCTACTGAAAGAACCTCAGGAATTCTGGCTCAGTTCACACAAAACAATCCCTGTACCAATGATGAGAATAACCGGAACCTTTCAGCATAAATGTGATCCCAGCCAGAACATTTCTTCCATCAAAATTCCTCTCAGCCAGGATTTATTTCTGCTGCTTTTGCAGCCCACCAATAACAGTGACCTGGCCAGTGTTGAAAATCAATATTCCATGAAGGCTCTTTCCAACGAATGGCTGGTGGGACTGTCCCCAAGGTATACTTTGTTTATGCAACATTACATATTTGTGGGACCAGCAACAGTCAGGTGGGATAGCTGTCTCTTTTCACTTAGATCCAGTTGCCAGAGAACTGGTAAGGACAGAGTTTCTCCAAGTTAAACTCGGCCACCTCAGTTGAAATAGTAATACCTGTCATTGACAACAACATTTAAATCTTGATCAACAGGTATTTAGAAATGCCAGCAAAGAGTATTTGCACCCTCTGCCTTTAAAAAAATAAATAACAGGGCTGTCTAATTTTCTCCTTTCTACTCCTAAATCTGTTTTATAATCTCACTTATTATCTCTGTATTCTAAACCAAGGAGAGGTCTGGTGAAGGTAAGGGCTCCCGTTTTCTTTACTTTGTTAAAAGAAAGAGGGGAAAGGGACCGATGCATGCCCTCCCTTATTTTGTGCTGGGCATCCGTGAGGGATTAAGTAAATGGATTGGGGTGCTCTGAGTTGTTGGGTGGGATATTTATCTGGGGAAGTAAGGTGTTTTTTAAAAAAATTCACCATATTTGTGTCCATCTTATACCCAAAGTTCTCAGGGTGCCTTACATAGTAAACACATATTAAAAAATATATAAGGGCAATAACCAAAACGTGATCACACCAAACTTTCCCCCAAGAAGACGTATTTTTTATTGCTTGTCATAATTCTATTACATTATTTTGTCTAAAGATGATTTGGGAGGTAATGACTAGGGTAATTAAATTGATGGAAATTAATTGGATTGGAGAGGAGCTGATTTAGGACCCGGCTATATTAGTCAAGAAAAAGTGTTTATATATGTTATAACACTGTGACACCAGAAGGCGCTGTGGAGTCCTGTCTTTCGCCAATGTGATTTCCCATAATGAGGTTTACAACACGTTTTCCTGAAACACTTTTTTGATGCGTCTAGATCCAGCCTTGTGCTCACTTGGGGTGTGGTGCAAATTGAAGACTTGACCTGGGGGTGACTTCAGTGGGGATTTAGCTGGCTTGCCTTGCCACCTTTGACTTTTCTAAATTTGCACCTCCATTGGGGCAGCCTGCCCTATTTCACCTAGGCAAAACAGGAAGTTCCTCCCCCCCTCCCCACCCCTGGGCAAAGTCTCGCTCACTGGGGTTGCATGGTGGTGCCAGCAGCTTCCAGTGAGATCTTGTGACATCTCACAGAACTCTCAAGACAGCTTGTGCCAGCTCTGCAAGATCTCACTGGAAGCTTCTGTGAGTCCTTCTCTGGTGTCAGAGGTGGGCAAGGCACCTACAGGGACACTGCCCTGCGGGATTCTGCCGCCTGAGGCTGGTGCCTCAGTCTGCCTCATGGGCAGGCCGGCCCTGATCTCCACATATAAATCAGCAAACACAAATTTGCTAATATATTTTCCTCTCTTTCTCCCTTCTTGCATCTTCTTCAGACAAATCCAGCTGACTTTGCCAAAGGTGTGCTTGGAAAGCACATATGATATACAGGAACTCCTTGGCAAAATGCCCCTGTCTTACCTGCTTGGAAATAAAGCCAACCTCACACGACTAAGTGACAACAACATAACTGTTGGGAAGGTAGGGTCTATTTTCTACGCAAAAGCGCAGGCGCTTTCCACCTTCCACACAGAGACAAAGTCCATGTAAACAACAGAATAGAGAGCAGGCTAGTTGTTGCAGAGAGTAAAATCTGTAGTGGGTGAAAGATGAACATTTGGAGCAGATGTCGGGAAGGCATGGGACCAAAGACAACGCTATGAGAAGACAAGGGCTCAAGGAATCAGAGCACAAAGGGGGAGATAAGACGTTACATACAGATGAATGATTTTAAAAATGAAAAGACGCCTCAAAAGACTGCAGTGTTGAGTGAAAGGGAGGACGAAGAGAGAGAATAAAAGGGTTCTTAGCCTTTTTCCAGCAAGAAATTGTGTTTACTGTTAGGCAATTTTAGACTCTGGACTCACTGAGCAGTTGACTTTTTAGATAGTAATGTGTTATTACTGCTCTTAAAAATATCTTAAGCCAGTACAGCTGCATTTTGGGCCATCCAGATAATACTGCTGAATGGAGCCCTCTGTGTTGTCTCAAACTGTAGCCTAACAGCACTACTGCCCACCAGACATTTTGGAGAAGGATGATGATGATTTAAACCCCACCCATCTGGTTGGGTCTCCCCAGCCAACTCTGGGCATCTTAAAACATATCTAAAAATATAATAAATACATCAGTCTTAAAACTTAGCTAAACACTGTTGCCTTCAGGTGTCTTCTAAAAGTCAGATAGTTTATTTCCTTGACCTCTGAAGGGAGAGCGTTCCACAGGGAGGGCGCCACCACCAAGAAGGCCCAGAACCAGGCCCTTCCCATTTGCTTCTTCCTTTAGGTTTCCAAATATGTATTTACATGTAGAAGCAGACATTTTAGTCTCTGCTGGGGAAAACACTACTAGACCAAGGAACACTTTTAATGGGAAATTGGTTGCAGGGAACATATTGAGCATGCCTGCAACTCCATTCAAAATGTCAGCCTGCCAAGCATGCTTTTTACCTTTCAAAAACTGTCATGTCATCACCACATATATTTATCCCCGTGTTCAGCCTGTTCCACTTATAACACTCTCGCCAAATAAGTTGCTAAGGAGGCTTATAATCAGTCATTTGCCCCTCAAAGCAACACTTTAAGATACTTTAAGTTGTCAAATATGGCAGAGTGTTGTTTATCTACATATTTTGAAATGGAAGGAAAGGAAAAGGCACGTCTGAAATTCCTTTTGCAGGTCCTTCAGCAGAATGACACCTGCCTTGTAGAGCACAAAGGCCACTGAAGTTGGACACCCTCCAATATTATGCCCATTTTGTCAGATGCAACAAACACAATTTTAAAAGGCTTCTCCAGAAGACTGTGTTGACTCCCAGGCAGTATCTGAATTCTTCTGAGAAAACTGCTTCAATTAGTTGCATGTAGCCATACCACACCACGGTGATATTTGGCCATGTTTAGTGGTCTGTAAATACTTCAAGGAAATAATATCAGGAAGAACAGTTGTGGATTCTATGTTAGCTATGTGAATATGAAGCAATGACCTAGTCTGGCATTCTACTGCCTCTTAATATAAACCAGGGATGGGGAACTTATGACTCTCCAGATGTCGTTGGAATCCAGCGCCCATCGGAATCAGCCAGCCTGGCCAATGGTCAGGGATTATTATCTAAATGTATGGAGTGATCACTGATCAGTATGGAAATTTCAGCCAAGATGGATTGCTAATGTGAAGCATATTTCTAATACAGGACCATGCTGTACTGCCCTAGTAAGTCTTTGGGCAAAGCTGATTCAACAAGTCTTCTGTAAACATTATGGGTTGCTTCTTGCTGCATCCCATGTCCTTTTGTTTAGCACTTTTCATACCTTTTTATTTATGGGGATTGCCATTTGTCATCTCTTTCTGTCATACTCCGCTGAGCCAGACTCTCAAATCAAATATCTTTAATACGGTCAATGACCAGCAAGCAAAAGCCAGACTCTCAAATTCACTGGGCTCCTTTCTGCTTCCAGATCATAAACCAGCAGCTTTTGGAGCTCATTCCCAGGACAGCAGATGAAGCAACAGACCCCACAGCAGGAAGTCAAGACACCGAGGCGCTCAAAATAACACTGGACAAGCCATTTTTGCTAGCAGTGTATGAAATGTCAGGCGCACAGCTTTATTTTGGCAGAATAACAAATCCCCTGAAAGGAACATAAACTTCCACAAAGGGGGGGGGGAATGGCTTCCCAGACTTCATTTGATCTTTTCCTTGCTTAGCAACTGTTTTGTATAATCCCACCGAGTCCTAATTAGAGATTTTGAAATGGCAAAACTGATATATCTTTCGATTATAATATTGATAAAATTATCAATAGCATTTAGCAACATCTTTATTCCATTAAGGGTAGGTGGGTCTCGTTTACACAAATCTAGGTGCCCACAATGCCATAATATTGTACTTTGCCTGTTGCATGTAACTGCTCAGTAAGCAAGCCATCTGTACTGTTCTGCCAAGAAAAATTCAACATACTTTTGTATCTGATTATCACTTGGACAGTGGTTGGATATTCATTAACTGGATTATCCCAATGCCTTATTTACTTGAATTAATAATGCTATTCTAATAGATGTGCCGTTTAAGCAACCCCAGTGAAAATATAGTCTTAGGTCAGTTTCTGTCAAATAAGAATCGTTGTTTGGATTTTTTTTTAAAAGGGAGCATAAAGAATAGTTTTCTATTCTTTGCAGCACTTTTCTTTTTCATAATTTCCTGTTCACTTATCAAGATTCAGCCCCAATTGTAGATGCTATTTAATCTCAATGTTTAGTAAGCCGGGTTTTCCTTTTTTATTAGATTCACCCTCTCTCTAAATCCTCTAGGTTCTCACCATAATTTTATTAGGTGTGTATCATATTGCAGGTTTAATTTGCATGCTGGCTTCTCACCTGAGACACCAAAGCAGCTCCAGAGCAAAAATAAATAAATATTCTGATTATCAAGCAATATTGAATCAAAAGGTTGGAAAAGAAGATACTGCTAGAAGGTAACACAGATAAAGAATGAAAATAAAAGTACTGGTTGATATCAGTATATTTTGCCAGTGCTTCATCATCTGCACTAGTTTCCAGCCCATTTTGGAGCCCAATTATAAAGCCTTAAATATATTGGGGATAGCATACCTGAAGAATTATCTCTTCCCCTATAACCTGCCCAGATATTCACCAGAGACCCTTTTTAGGTTTCCCATTTTGTGAGGTAAAAGAGATGGGCAATGCCCCTCTCTACCCTGGCCTTTGAGAACTGATATGTATTTTGTCATGACCCACTCTGTTCCTGTGTCTAATTTGCTTTAAACTGTTTTTAATATTGAAAGGGTGGGGAATAAATTGTATACATAATACATAATAATGGCAACAAGAGTCTTTTTGGGGGGATTAGGGTGTCTCTGTTAATTCTCTTCAACCTTTCAGTTGCTTTCGATACGATCACCCCTGGTATCCTTTTGAAGTGACTTACGAAGTAAGGGGTGGGTGGCGCCGCTTTGTGGTGATTCTGGTCATATTTGGATGTTAGTTTCCTGAAGGTTTTGCCTGGGGAGTGTTTTTCAGTCTCGTGGAGCATTCAATGGGGAGTTCCTCAGAGTTCCTCAATTTTATCCCTTGTGCTATTTAACATCTACATGAAACATTTGAATGGGGCCATTCGGGGTTTTGGTGTACATTGTCAGCAATATGCTGCTGACACACAGCTCTACTTCTCCTTTACAGCTGCAGGTGTGGCAGTGGATGTGTTGAAACATTGTCTTGCCTCAGTAATGGGCGGATGAGAGCCAACAAACGGAAGCTCAATCTGGAAAAGGCTGAGGTACTGCTAGTGGGCAGTTCCCGAGGCCCTTCTTTGTGTGCTCCCTCCAAGGAGAGGTCCGGAGGGTGGCAACACGGGAATAAGCGTTTTCTGTGGTGGCTCCCCACTTGTGGAACGCTCTCCCCAGGGAGACTCACCTGGCGCCTTCATTATATAGCTTTAGGCATGTTTCTCTTCAACCAAGCGTTCAGTTGGTTGGCATTCTATGGTTTTTCAACTGTGTTTGTGTGTGTGTGTGGGGGGGTTATTGGTTTTTTTGTTTTGTTTTACTATGTCTTTTGTATTCTCATTTTTTATTTTTCTGTTGTAATCTGCCCTGGGATCTTTGGATGAAGGACGTTATACTATGACTACTACTACTACTACTTTTTGCACCTGACATCATCCATTCCTCAAAAGCACCTGCAACCTCAGCTCTTACTATCTACAAGTTATTATCCTTCTATTTGGGTGGGCAAGAGACAGACTGAGTCATTTTATTTCTGTTGATATATTTATAGCCCCATTTTTAATATAAAATACTCAAAGCAGCAGCAATCTCATTTAAATATCATAAAAAATTAAAATCATTAAACCTCAAAACATCATTGTGATAATCAGTTTAAATGAAGCAATGAGAAGCCTGTTGAAAACAGAGACCAACTGAAAAGAAATTAAATATGTAGCCTAGCCCCTTGGGAGAATGTCCCACAAGTGGCTCTGCTTCTTGTGGCTGTTTGTCAAACCTCAAACGGCAATACAAAGAGCCCCCCAACATCAATCTGAATAGGTTTTGGACATGGTGTTTCTTAAGGTACTGTGGTCTGGGGTCATTTAAGATATTAAAGGTTACAACTTGCACTATGAATAGAGCACTCCAGAAGATAACTAATGGAGGTGCAGTATCATCAGTGTTTGGATTACGGGGGAAAAACCATGTTATATATATATATATAACTTGGCAATTATCTGTCCTTTAATGATACTTCCAAATTAGGCTCTTTCCTTTGGGTGATTGGAGGACCTGCCTTGAATGGGGCTCCCAGTGTGTTCTCATCCAAGCATTGAGCCACATCCTGTCACCAATTAGGTTTTTCAGATTAATGGCTAGAGCTATATAAAGGGGATTCCCCAAATTATGGAAATGTCTAATATTATATTATCCTACCTTTAAGGTGCTGTTGTACAGGTTACTGAGATAATAATCTCACTGAATACTCAGAAAGGACTTCATAAATGCTAAAAGGTTAAACGTAAAGGACCCCTGGAGGTTAAGCCCAGTCAAAGGCGACATTGGGGTTGCAGCGCTCATCTTGCTTTCAGGCTGAGGGAGCCGGCGTTTATCCACAGACAGCTTTCTGGTTATGTGGCCAGCATGACTAAACCGCTTCTGGCGCAACAGAATACGGTGACAGAAACCAGAGCACACAGAAACACCATTTACCTTTCCGCCGCAGCAGTACCTATTTATCTGTTTGCACTGGCATGCTTTCAAACTGCTAGGTTGGCAGTAGCTGGGGCAGAGCAACGGGAGTTCAGGATTCAAACTGCTGACCTTCCAATTGGCAAACTTAAGAGGCTTCTTATTAACAGTGCATCAATACTGAAGCAGAAAACACACCCAACATTTAGCACGATTGGGGAAGTCGTATTTTGATCCCAAGGAGGTGGCTTCAATATTATGCTATCAGCAAACCTCCAGTCAATCATCCTCAGTCTCACCAGAAGTATTTAAATACTAGCTATACCGATTCCCCAAACAAAAGAAGTGGACAAAATTGCAAAGGCTTGATGTTACTCTAACATACCATGAATAAGCAGGGTGCTTTCTTTCCAAATTCACATTTATTTGCTTCCTTCTTTATGATGGGCCCCAAAGGAAAAATCACAGGGCAAACAGGCATGCTGTGCCATTTGAAAACAACAACAACAATAAAAAAATCCTTGTATTCCTCCAACAAGCAGACATGATAATCTACCATTTTGTGAAAATAGTTGGAAATAAAAATCTTTATAACTCTTTAAAGTATTTAAATAATTCTATATCCCACCGTATTCAAAAAGCCCAGAAGTTAACAATACATTTTTGCTTAGCCATGTAATAAATGTAGGTAAGTCAGGCTACATCAAGCTTTGAAACCAGACAGGTTTTCAAACCAGGAACGCCTTGGATGGTGTAAAACAAATACGCCAAACCATGTACATTAGGTTTCAAATGACCTCAGAGAAGTATATACTTCCTTAAGGAATGCATAAGGTCAGTTGACTATCTTCTGAGCTTTTTCTGAATGTGGATGTTAGCAGCAACAGGAACAGGTAGTGTGTTTTAAGGAGTTTGCATGTAACTTATGATGGTCTTAAAGAGGTGCAAATGAAAACCCCAAACCCAAAAGTAATCCTGAGTTTTTCATGAAACAGACAGACTGACTTTTAGGTGATTTAAGACCCTTCCAAGACTCAAGACAACCACCTCAACAAATGCTTCATTTTCTTCTAAAAAAAAAAAGTAAGTGTGACCTCTTTGAAGACAAAGCTCAGGAGAATGCTTTCTTGTTTGTTTTAAAATTCAAGAATAGTAATGCTTATTTTAATCTCTTCTACACAACCCAATGTTCTAATGTAAAATGTATGCTTAAAGGTAAAGGGACCCCTGACCATTAGGTCTAGTCGCGGACTAATCTGGGGTTGCGGCGCTCATCTAGCTTTATGGGGCGAGGGAGCCAGTGTACAGCTTCCGGGTTATGTGTCCAGCATGACTAAGCCGCTTCTGGCGAACCAGAGCAGCATACGGAAATGCTGTTTACCTTCCCGCTGGAGTGGTACCTATTTATCTACTTGCATTTCGTGCTTTCGAACTGCTACATTGGCAGGAAAAGGTATGCTCAGAGGTCAGTAAATTACTATTCTTACATTGTGTGAAGAGTAATACTACAAAGCCACTTGAACTTACATATTTAATACATCTCCTCTCCAGTGATAAAATGTTACAAAGGAAGACAATGCTTTTTTGTTTATTTTAATCATGTTAAATCAGTTTTCCTGCATGATAAGATTTACAATAATAATAAAAATAATAAAAATAATAATAACCTTTCATAGCTTTGTAGTAGATTGCTTAGAAATATATAAACTTTCTTCCATACAATGGAAAATGAGAGTAAATGCTCTTCTATAAGGTTCTCTCCTTTTTGGTGAAACAAGTTTTTATGTCTCTTGAGACACACTTAACTTGCTGCTGAAGCTGAATTAGGAAGCACTTCCTTGCTACATAGTACTTGACGAGAGAAAATAAAAAGAAACCCTCTTCTTTTCAAAAGCCAGGCCTGCTCTCTCTCCTCAGCTGAAAATCATGTTTGTTCTGCTGCTATCTGATCCTTGGCAGATTGAACAAGCTCTGAAAGAGCTGAGAAGCTTTTGATGTTGCTCAGCTGCAATCCCATCTTCTGTATCTAAAACAAAATATTACAGTTCATTTATTATTTTTGCAGGCAAAAGCAGAAATTTCTTACTTAATCACTGCATGATCAGAAGCTCTATAAGACAAGCATATAGAAACTTGTCTTGTGTTGACAGCCACTTCTTTTATTTAGCATGCATTTGACAAAGTTATTTTTAGGCAGCTGGAATAAGTATCATTTGACTTGCTTAACATTCCAGTTACTTTTGCTGGTTGGGACGTTTTGATGTTTGCCAAGCATGAAATAGCATGTGGGTGGGCAACTGCTGTTGGTACCTGATGAAGTGCACAACTTGAATACTTGCTAACGGATCTCAGTTTTGCTGCCTGGGGTGCAGCGTAATACAAAATAGCTACTCCCACCAAAAGAGCAGTAAAGAGATGGGAACACAATGGTTCAAATATGGAAATCTATTCCATTTTGATTGTTCACAGAATGCCTTCAGCTGACACCTGAAGACCAACACTAAAGGTGAAAGATGTACCTCTAAGCGGAGACCATTTGAGGGGCAGGGGTCTGCAAAGGAGAAAGCCCTTCCACATATTTCCCGCCCCAAATTTTAGTAGGGACAACAAGCAGAGTCCTACCCACGTGAGTGCCAATTATAAAGACCGAGTTTGCTAACAGTGGAGGAGGCCCTCTTGCAGTTATTTGGGTCATGCGCCAGGACAACAAAACAGCCTGAAATAAATGCTTACTTTCCTTTCAAAGGCATGAAATATCTGCTTCCAGTTATTTCTGATCCATCTGTATTTACTCAGGCTTTTGTTGTATGGTGACTTTTAACCTCAGCAACAATACCTGAATAAGTGTTTCAATGAACTGTTGGTATTTTTTCTCTTGGTATTGTGCTTTTATTGTTATTCTGCTGATGATTTTAAGATGAATTACACATCACCTTGAACCGCTCCCCTGTCATTTTATTTCACTTTTAATTTGTATACCACCTTTCTATGTTGCTATACAGTGGTTTACAAGCTTTGGAAGGAGGCAGATTTATATAACCCAGATAAAGAAAATTGTTATCCCACAAAAACACACGTACATTTGTGTCTGCATCCAACTTACCTGAATTCCAAAGTGCTCCACATCCAAGGCCAGCTGCAGGCGGATTTTGTTATCATCACTCATGCCTCCATTTGGAGCGGTGCTATTTGCCGTCACGGTTTTTCTTGCCTGCTTCAGCCTTTTCAAACTCTCTTCCATTTTCTTTACAGAATTCAGAATATCTGATATTGTCTCAAAGTACCTGAATAAAGAGATTCATTAATGCATTAGACTGTGAGCCCCTTATGGACAGAGTGATTAGCATTCAGAAAAACAACTCTAATCAGCTTTGAGCCCACAGGGCACAGCCAGACAGAAACAAACAAAATGTGTGTTTGTCGCTCTCACTGAACTCAATAGGACTTAAAAGTTTGGCTGGAACATGCCATAGCTCTTAATACTTAGATTCTTCCTTTACCTTACCAGTAAGTTGTGTATACAATATCAGACCCCCAAAATCGACTATTATAAGTGCATATTTAGCATCCGGGACCAAAAATGCCATGTGGGCCATGGGTAGCAGTTTCTGCAAGGCCAGCTCCAAGTTTCTATAGGCTCTGGGCAATATAAAGGCAGCGGGCTCTGCAACGCCCAGTCACATGCTGTTGCCCGTCCTGCTGCTGCATCCCATCACTGCAGAGCTAGGCTGTGTAGAAGGAGAAGGGAAGCAGCAGCAACAGGGAAATCGGAGACTGATACAGGCCAGAAGACCAGGGTAGCATCAGTGTGGCTGGCCAAAACTATGCAGGAAAAGGGTCAATGAAGGAGGTGTTGGCTTGCTTGCCCAAGTGCACTGCTGGAATTAGTGCAGGAATTGGAACAGGCCTCATGAATGGAGGAAGGGAAATGCATTCCATCACTGCAGAAGGCTTGGCTGATGCTGCAGGAGCTGCATGATGACAACAATAGGAGTTAGGCAATCAAGCATGTCCAATGGGTTTACTGTCTGTAAATGCCTTTGCATACAAAGCAGTAAGATTCTAAAATCAACAACAACTCCACACCAAAGTTTCCTGGGAACTATAGTTAACTGAAGACAACCTGGTTTGTTTGAAGAGAAGAAGAAGAAGTGTTTGGATTTGATATCCCGCCTTTCACTCCCCTTAAGGAGTCTCAAAGCGGCTAACAATCTCCTTTTCCTTCCTCCCTTGCAACAAACACTCTGTGAGGTGAGGCTGAGAGACTTGAGAGAAGGTCACTCAGCAGCTGCATGTGGAGGAGCAGGGAAGCGAACCCGGTTCACCAGATTACAAGTCTATCACTCTTAACCACTACACCACTGCTGGCTTCTACTACAAAGGGAGGAGCACAGGGGTTACCGTATTTTCGCTCCATTGGACGCACCGGACCACAGGACGCACCTAGTTTTTAGAGGGGGAAATCAAGGAAAAAAATATTATCCCCCCCCCCAGCCCCAAAGAGCAACAGACAGGCTGCACGCAGCCTGTCCACTTCTCCCAGAGCTTCTCGGGGCTGCGGGGGAAGCCCGGGTTCCCCCCCCAGCCCCAAAGAGCAAAGAAGCCAAGACGGTGCGAGGGATCCATAGCCGCGCAACCTCTCCAGCCAGGAGCTAACCTCTCCAGTGCAGCTAAAGAAGAAGACAAGGCAGCAAGCGCGATCCATCCCGCTCACTGCCTTGGCTTCTTCTTTAGCCTTGCGCAGCATCTTTAGTCTTGCGCAATGGGATGGATTGCGCCTGCTGTCCACCGGGGCTGGACTAGATGACTCCTGGGGTTCCTTCCAACCCTACAATTCTATGACCTCGGAAGGTGTTTGGGGTCTCCACCACTGGAGGCTTTTAAGCAGCGGTTGGGGGACCATCTGCCTGGCGTTCTTTAGCTGTGATTCCTACATTGTGAGGGGGCTGGGCTAGATGACCCTTGGGTGGCCCTCCCAACTCTATACAGTCCTACAGTTCTGCGGCAGGAGATCCACAGCCACTTCACACAATGCCCACTCCCAATTTTCATCTGAGAGACATGTGGCTTCAGTGTCTAGGTAGGTACCCCCCTACCTGCCACTCTTCCCCCACCCCACTTAAGCTGAGGGAATTCCTGCCCAGAGAAGCTCCCAGCAATCACGGAGGAGGAATCCGCTGCAGCCTTGAGCAGCGGAGGATCCATGGTCCCCTTCCTTCTCTCCTCCGTAGTTGCTTTGAAGGAGGAAAGTGGGAGAGGAGCTGCTTACACGAGTGTAAGCTGCTCCCCTCCCACATTGCCGCTTCAAAGCAATCAAGGAGGAGGGAATCCGCTGAAGCCTCGAGCAGCGGAGGATCCATGGTCCCCTTCCTTCTCTCCTCCGTAGTTGCTTTGAAGGAGGAAAGTGGGAGAGGAGCTGCTTACACGAGTGTAAGCTACTCCCCTCCCACTTTCCTGCTTCAAAGCAATCACGGAGGAGGGAATCCGCTGAAGCCTCGAGCAGCGGAGGATCCATGGTCCTCTTCCTTCCCTCCTCCGTAGTTGCTTTGAAGGAGGAAAGTGGGAGAGGAGCTGCTTACACGAGTGTAAGCTGCTCCCCTCCCACATTGCTGCTTCAAAGCAATCACGGAGGAGGGAATCCGCTGAAGCCTCCAGCAGCGGAGGATCCATGGTCCCCTTCCTTCTCTCCTCCGTAGTTTGCTTTGAAGGAGGAAAGTGGGAGAGGAGCTGCTTACACGAGTGTAAAGCTGCCCCCCTCCCACTTTCCTGCTTCAAAGCAATCACGCCTCCAGCAGCGGAGGATCCATGGTCCTCTTCCTTCCCTCCTCCGTAGTTGCTTTGAAGGAGGAAAGTGGGAGAGGAGCTGCTTACACGAGTGTAAGCTGCTCCCCTCCCACATTGCCGCCTCAAAGGGAGCCCGGGAGGAGGGAATCTGCTGCAGCTTCCCCCACCTCCCGCAGAAGCCAAACGCTCTTTAAAGGGGCGGTGCGGCTTCTCCTGGCTTTTCTGGGAGGTGGGGGGATTCCCCCACCTCGTAGAAAAGCCTGCAGGAGCCGCACAGCCTTTAAAGAGGGCGCCGCTCTTGGGGGCTTTTCTGTCATTGTCATTTTAATTGTTTGTGTGCCCTGTCCTGAGATCACAGGGCACAGTCCCTTCTCCCTCCTGGAGAAAAGCCCGCAAGAGCGCGCGAAGCTTGTGTGTGGCTCTTGAGGGCTTTTCCCGCCTGCCTCCCCCCCTGCATTCGCTCCATAGGACGCACACACATTTTCCCTTGCTTTTTAGGAGGGAAAAAGTGCGTCCTATGGTGCGAAAAATACGGTATGTGCGCAGCCAAAGTGCTCACTCACATCTTCTTTTATCTAGCCCAATATGTGATTGTCTTAACCAACAGTGGCTTGGGGAAAGTTGAGTTTTTAATGCTGAAATACGCTTGTGAAGTTGCAGTAAATTTTCACTTACTTTTGTGTGCTTTTGCCAAGGGCTCCTTCAAGCCACTGCTCAATTACAGCTGGTTTCAGTGTATCTTTGTAGTCATTCTTCAGTTGGTGGAAAGGTTTAAGAGCAGCGTCAACATAGGGCAATGCTTTGGTTGGCACCTCCTGGTTAATGTTACACAAATTGACAAGAAAATGAGTAAAAAGCTTGTTATTTTAGAGTTCAAAACAAGCAAAGCTCAGCATGCTCATACATAAGCAGTACATGAGAATTCAATAATAGGTAGTTAATCAAATGGTTTTTGAATACATATACATATCACCTAAACCTCAATTAGGTTCCTTTCTGAGCCTACACATTTGACTTTTTCAGAAAAAAGTATTTTTGCTGGATTCCCATCATACCAGACATAAACATGCACAGAAAGGGTTGGGTAAAAAACTGCTTGCCCTGATAGTGTTGAAGTGTGTTAAGTAGTAGTTTGTCTGAATTAAATGAATATGACAAAAAGCAATGGATGTGTTATCAAAGGTCCTGGGGAAAAACGGGAAACTAGAGATCTCAAAGTTTGTGTAAACAGCAGGTCTGTTCTCATCACAAATAAAGTGGGGGAAGGTTTTGGTTTGAGGAAGTCTGCTGATGCCAGTCTGCAGTAATGCTATACACTAGGATTCAAACATACACTATTCCTACTACCTTGGCTTAGGTGGGCATGGCAGGCTCAATTGAGATCCATAAAATGTAAATTAAACTACGAGAAGTTGAAAACTGCATGTAACACAGATCATCATTAATCAGCATAACACTGTGCTCTTCCATCTCATATAGCTAATTGATGATATCTCAGGTAAGAAATTATATGCCAAAGCTACTTTGCTTCATGGGGTTGGGGCCATCAGCTGCAGGTAAGTGGTCAAAACATTCTATGCTGCTGACACAAGCCTTTATTGTTTAAATATGAAGTGTGCGTTACCTTATTGGTTCTTCTATATAGCCTTGGAATCTCAACAGCACTTTTCAGGCAACCGAAGCAAGAATCACTTAACTCCTGAATAAGCTTATTGTTCAAGGTTGGCCAGCAACCCAGTAAAGAGTCCTTTGAGTCTTCCAGGGCTCCTGTTAAGAAAAAAACAAACTCTGGTAAAATCTGAGCTCCCCTGATTTATCCCAGATGAACACACACTTTTGGAGTATTTCTTAAAACATGGGCATACTGCCCTTCGTTAGAAATTCCAGGGCTATTACAGTGGTACCTCTAGTTGCGGACTTAATCTGTTTTGGGGTGCCGTTTGCACCCCAAAAAGTCCACAACTAGAGTGCCTCTTCCGTGCATGTGTGGCGTGATCGAGCGCTTTTGCGCATGTGTGAAGCACGCAGATCGCATCTGCGCATGGCAATCCCTGGAAGTAAACACTTCTGGGTTTGCCACATTCGTAAGCTGAAAGTCCGTAACAGAACACAACTAGAGGCACCACTGCACAACAGTCTTTTTGAACTCCCTTGTTCCCCCCTCGCAAAATGTAATCAAGTAAAGAAGACAGATACTATTTATTATGCTGTGTTACACTGACAATTCACAGCACGGTCTTCCGCGAGGTTTGGATGGGCGTGAAGTGACTGGTTGCCTGCCACACCCAAAGCCCAGCTAGCTTCCTCCAGCCAGAACAAGAGGCATGGAGGGGTTGCCCCTCTTCCTTCCTGTGTGGATCTTCTTTTTCTTTATTATCCTCCCCCTCTAGAAGGGGGATTAATTAGGCCAATCCTGTGACCTCTCAGATGAACAAAGCGCCTGGAATCTAACAAATCCAAGGCTGTCTCCGCCTCCCCTGCCCCACAACTGGAGCAGCCTTTCAAGGGGTCTAACATTAAGTAATGAAAAACTAGCAGTAACTCTATGTTCACAGGGCTATCCACAGACATATCAAGGCCCTCCACAGTGGACGTCCCACTCTGCCAGGCTCTCTTCCGCTTAATATTCCAATATTATCTCTCATTCATACACATACAAAAGGCTTGGGGGCAGATGCTAAAACACTGCCTGATTAAAGTTAGGCCATCAAGCAAGTCCTGTGGGTTCGTGACAATTCTATGCTCCTTCTTCATATGCAAACATCTTCTTTCCTCTTCATTTGTAAAGCTAATCAATAATAATAATAATAATAATAATAATAATAATAATAATAATAATAATTGTACCCCACCCATCTGGCTGCATTTCCCCAGCCACTCTGGGCAGCTCCCAACAGAACACTAAAAACAGAATAAAACTTCAAGCATTAAAAACTTCCCTAAACAGGTCTGCCTTCAGATGTCTTTTAAAAGTAAGATAGTTGCTTATTTCCTTGATGTCTAATGGGAGAGCGTTCCACTACCAAGAAGGCCCTCTGCCTGGTTCCCTGTAGCTTCACTTCTCGCAGTGAGGGAACCACCAGAAGTAAAATATGTATTATACTTGCACTGGCATTTTTGCTACCACAGTTAGATCTAAATCACAGTTGCAATCCCAGTAAAAAGTAAATTTGCAAACTGTGGTAGCGAAAAATATCAGCGCAGTTGTAATGCCACTTGATAGCTCACTCCAAAAATGAAGGCAAAGTAGATTTCTGAACAAGCAAGGAGAAGGAGAAATAGGACCAAGCAAGTCACAGGCATTCCCAATCCCCTGGCCATAGCCTGCCAAATAAGGGTAGGGTGTCACATGCATAAAATACTGCGCAATTTAGAAATTTCCTCAAATGATGGTGAATCTTCTTGAATCAAAAATAGTCTCTCTCATTAAACAATTTATCTCCATTAGGCATTTGCCGATATACTTCCCAGCAGAGTATGTTCATCATATCATATCATGAATATGTAACAAAAAATATAAGCAGATACCTGAACTCACATTTACCTGAGATGCAGGCTATGTTCTTGAAACCAGTGGTTTCAAGTTTTGGTTTGATAATTTCCAACAATTCAGGAAACTGAAAGAAAAGTAATATTCAAATAATTACAGCTACATTTGAATATGTTTTCTCGATATATTCAAATTCCCCATGCACAGAAGTGTTTCTTGTGTGCAGCTACAGTATATAAATTTTACTCCAACATCACAAAACATAACATTTTGAAAATCAGCTATGCAAATGCCAGACGCAACAGCAAGAGATTCTGAATTCAATGCAGCACACTATGAAAGCCTCAAGGCAAAACATCTAGAATTCATGAAACAGTTTTATTCAAAATAGCAGATTTGCTCCTTGAAGCATTTAATTAATCTTGAACAGAAAAAGTGATCAAAAAGTCACACTCAAACAGACTTCACAGCACCCCAGTGAGCTACAAGGCTTGTGTAGCAAAATGAGAGCTTGACAGTTAAAATCTTGCAGGGGGCTGAGAGGCTAATCAATGAAAATTTACACTGCAAAAACAAGCACATGGCTCACATCCCAAAGATTCACAAAACCACAGAGCTGCTTTCTGTAGAGAGTTGTGAAAAACTGAAGCAGCAGCAGCCATGAATGTTACAAATTGATGGCAGGAGATGAAATAATTCTCTTTATGACATAATGTATCGCATTATATCTTCCCTGCAGAGAGACATACTTTAAAGTAAGCAGATAAACCTTGATATATCTAAACTCCATGGAACCAAAGGCACAAAGATTAAGGAATATTTTCTACATCTGCAACCATTATTCATACAACAGTCACAATAGTATCAGCACTCTTTATGTGAGCATCTATTCTAATGCTTAAGGTTCTGGAAATTATAGTTATTACTGAACTGAAGCCTGCCATTTAAATATTTCAAAAGTTCGGTGTCAGGGTGGGGTTAATGGCAGGACAACAAAAGTGGACTTTGTGAACCCTTACGGTGCTAAGAGACAGAAAGTATATGTGTGTGTGTAAGTAACAACCATTAGCTCAAATTGAGGATACAGTAACCATAAGTACACTCAACTTAATTAAACACATTAGTTAATATAAGCCCTCCAGATGTCCAAATAAGTATCAACACAAGATTGACACTTTTAAAAATATGTTCAAATGCAGCCAGGGCAGTGAGGTCCTTAGACCACTGCATAATACAGTTGTACCTTGGACCTCAAACGCCTTGTGACTTGAATGTTTTGGCTCCCGAATGCTGCAAACTCAGAAGTGAGTGTTCCAGTCTGCGAACGTTTTTTGGAAGCCGAACATCCGGCGCAGCTTCCGATTGAGTGCAGGAAGCTCCTGCAGCCAATCGGAAGCTGCAACTTGGTTTTCGAACGTTTCCGGAAGTCGAATGGACTTCCGGAAGGGATTCCGTTCAAGAACCAAGGTATGACTGTAGATGGCGGGTGTTTATCCTTCCAGGCTTGAAGTATAATTTCCTTTCCCTGGTTTTTCTTTTTTCCTTCTTTGTTAAATTTGCGAACAAAAAATTGACAATAATAAGCATTAAGAAAAAAGTTCAGTATCAGAGTCAGCCGGGCTCAGAGAACCATAGGCCGGATTTGATATTTGACATGCAGACCAATGAAGTATACCAACCCATTCCTGAAGCTTATCCAGATCTGAAGCAACAAGCACCAGCTGAGTGGTGGATATGGAAGCTAAAGGCTGAGACTCTGGACAAGAGTCATTTCCTTGGTCTTCAACAGAGCTTGGGTTCAGTGGGCACTCCTTGCTACTGCTTGCCAATGATTTTTTATCCTTTGTACTTTCGTTAGAGATGGGCCTGAGTAAAAGCTGCAATATGAAAAATGAAAATGGCAAAGAGGTTTTTGCAAACATACCATACACCAAACAATACACATCTCAGCACAATGTCCATTCATAAGTAAGTTCCACTGATTTCAATGGGAATTGCTCCCTAGCAAGTGTACAGAAGACTGTAGCCTCAGGCTACCAACATACAGTAATACCCTAATTTGATAAAGCTGCAGTGAAACAGCATTTTGGCTCGTCATACAGGGGTTAGACAACCTCCTAAAAATAACAACTATAAGACTTGAAATGAGAACCATAGAACTTTGAGAGAAGCCTGTGGTTTTCCTCACCTCGCTAATAAAAAACGAATAGCGCGCTACAATCTGCAGTGAAAGCTTCCAAAGGCGATGTGTGAGCAATGGCAGAAATATCTGATCTGACCAACACTTCTGCAGACTTGCACATGCAACATGTGTTGCCAAGAGGCTGTACGAACTTTGAGCTGAAAAGAAAACACAGAAATAGTTAAATTATTAGTCACAATCCAGAACTGTAGTTCTATGCGTTTTTCAAAATTATCCCAATTAGACCAGCTATATTATGAACGTTTATGAGTACCTTTTTGCTTTTATTCTCTTATTTCCAATCCTGTACCCATACCTGCCCCATAACTTCTGTACAGCACCAATGTTTGGGGGATCACTGACACATCTTGTGTAAAGACAGATAAGCCAAAGTGACAATAAATAATCCTGAGACAAATATCTAGCTAACTTAAGGCCCACCCCCACCCCTCACTTAATTCTGAGGAAAAGCAACTAACAACCACCCAAGATTAATAATATTAATAATATTTCTATTATTTGTATTCCACCCATCTGACTGGGTTGCCCCAGGCACTCTGGGTGGCTCCCAACAGACTATTAAAAACACGATAGCTGGAGGTCAGAGGCAGGCACATCTTATGGATTCTGGGTAGCAAAGCCATAGCTGCTGAGGAAGGGGAAAGGAAGGCTGCTGCTGTTTCCTTAATAACCTATTAGCTTTTTTAAGGAGGGCTACCTCTCATTACAGAACTATGGATGGAGATACAAAAGCAAAATAATGCTATGCTGTGATGGTGCACATTTTATTTCAGTGCTACACAGAGGTTGTAGAACTACCTGTTTGTCAACTGTCCCTCCAGTCATACACCATTAAATGACACAACATTTAGGGCTGTATGCGAAAGAACTTTTGTCTTCTTTCCAGTGCAATTCATTCTTCATTCTTCATTCTTAGCCACTATGTCTAGCCATCACTGCTACCCAACTTTTAGGCAGTGCAGCAGACAAGATTTCTGCCATAGTTGATGTCATTGGCTAAAAGCAGAAATCATTCTTGAGAATTATTTCCTTGAGTTCCCCCTTAGACACTATACTATTTTTCTTAAAGCAAAGCTGAAGTTCCCATCAGTGCAAAGATGACAGATATAATTGTGAAGGGCTTTATGGCAGTGAAAAATGATTATTTGTCATTCATTCTCAAATCCTCATTGCACATGCTAATTATAGTGAAGATCTTTACCTGGAGCTTCTTCTAAGTCATCAGAAAAGGCTGTTTCTAAGGCCCCCGCTATTTCTCTAAACCTAAAAAATAAAAAAAATAATCCTAATTAAAATTAATATTTGGCAGCTTACTGCTGCACGCTGCAGTCCAATTCCCCCAAATGTATTTCAAACCCGAATGCCATAAGAATCTCTTTAACACAGCAGCTATAACTGCTCCCATGTAATAGAAGAATGACAGCAGGATAATGAGAGGCAGTATCAGAATGAGTGTTAGGTATGGAGTAGAAACAGAAGAGAGTTCGAAGAAGAGTTTGAGAGACAGAGCCGTTAGTTAATGTTGCCGTCTCTATAGAGACTGCTCCATCATCTGCAAGGCCAATTGTGCACTGTAGTTTCCTATGTTAGTTCTTGCTGTTATGATGAGTAAGAAAGCTGGTAAATTTCAGGAATAAAGGCCATCCCCCAAATAGATAGGGCTGGTAGAGAAATGCTGGACCTTGCGAGTCCCCGAGAGGTTTCCCCAGCCTCTAGTTATCGCCACTATTTTAGTATCTCTTTAAAACAAAAACTTTTGAGTTTTGCAATCTGGGTCCAAATTTAATGTTGCACTAGCCTTTCTCAACCTGTGGGTCCCCAGATGTTGCTGAACTACAACTCCCATCACCCCCAGCTAACAAGGCCAGAGCTCAGGGATGATGGGAGTTGTAGTCCAACAACATCTGGGGACCCACAGGTTGAGAACCACTGCGGCTAGAGGGAAGTGCAGATTGGTTAAGAAGCTTAAAGGGAAAAGTTTTACATTCAAAGAGGGAGGGGGAAGGGGAGCAGGGATGTGCCTTAGTTCTTAGAGTTGCTTCTGATGACCTCTGGCTGGCCTAGGCCTTATGACCGTGGCACCGACGGCTGCCTTTTATTTGCTAATGGACACTGCCACAAGGTTCTGCAAACAATTCTAGGGGATGGAAATCAATAGTTCTTTCTGATACCCTGAACATTTTTGTTTTTAAAAAAGAAAAGTACCATCACAACCAAGTTTTCAGAAATATAAACAGAAACAGCTTGTAAGCTTATCTGTGTTTCAAAAGAACATGTGGCAATTGCTATCAGTCTATCTGGAGGAACGCCACAGGGTCCAAGGAACACCACAGCCAAGTCAAATGTTTCAATCCAATTAAGCAGGAAGGTTTGGTTACCTTACTCTGGGTTTGCTGCTAACATTTAATTATTTATTCACTAAACAAGTCTAATTCTTAGACTTCATTTCACTTCACTTCACTTTTAAATCAAGCTGTTACAATAAAAAAACACCTTAGTTTATTAACCACATAAGTTTTAGTCAATCAACTGAATTTGCATATGAGTAAAAATAGTAATTCTGAAATATGAAGCATAATTTCTTATTTGTAGATGATGGATTCCTGTTGTAGGTTACATTATCTTATGTGTTCTCTTCTATTTGAAAACATATGACATCACAAAAAGGTAAAATCAGATGGAATGTAACTGTTAAATTTCCAAACACCTAACAGGAGAAACTGTTCCTGTTCAATCCACATTCTACCTCATAGTAGGAAAGCTGACAGAATAGACAGCTGCAAACCACAGATAATGTGTAAGATTTGAAAAACTGTTCTATTTCAGCACTTGTTGCACACAAAAATGGGAGATATATTTGGATGCTGTTCTGACAAACAGCATGCTATGATACCAAAGGACATTTATTCCACTTTTCAACATTTTTGCCTTTGTAGGTTTCAGCAGGCAGCAAGGAACTGTGTCTTTCAAAACATGAAAAATATTTTTATCTAAATGAAGTAATTTCATGTCCCCTAAAAATAAAACTCAAATACCAACCTTATTTGGAAATAAACAGGCAAATTCCATTTATCATTAAAGCTGTGGTAGGAAGGATGTGACCGTAGTCTTTTAACGCTGGCTTGTGAGCCACACTGCCGTTCAAACTTTCTCACAAAATCCATGCTTATAGTGTATTTCTGAAGAAGGAAAGTATACATTAAGGTATATTTCATACTTTCTTTAACATACAAATATTGAAATAACATAGTGCTATCTATCAAGCTCTCTGAAATCCAGAATACCTGATATATAATTAGCAATAGAACTGGAAAACTAACTCATTTCTATTCAGCTAATATTTTTTGTTTTGTTGCTGCTCCTTGAGGGTATCTTTTGATGAGCATGATGAGCAGAGATAACAGAACTTACAATTAATCAGAATTGAGATTTTTAGTCAATTGAGCAGGTTAAAAAGCCTAGTACCAAGGCACATGAAATGATGCTTGCTTGTATCAAATGATACTTCATGTTGACAGTCTTTACATCAATATTATTGTTAATCTCTGTATAGAAAATTCAATATATGACACTGCTCTTAGTTGTTGAATTTTAACATTCTGTATTTCAAAAATCATTTTCTAGTTTTCATATTAAACTAAAGGCCCACTCTCCTTGGTTCACTGTGTTAAAGAGAAGGTTAATATGCATATTTTAAATTACCTCATGAAATGCATCTGGGTTCCCAGGATTAAACAGTGATGGCAGCTTAACTTCTAAACCACGAACTATTTCTGGCCACACAGAATTTACCAAAAAATCATATCCAGGAACAACATTCCCCTTTTCGCTGCAAAATTAAATAAACATTTTTCTTATAAATACTTAAAATATAAGCATTATCAATAATTATACAAAAATGTACATTAGTAGGTTTGTAGTAAAGCATTTAAATATTTGAATATTTCTACTAGCTTAAAGTCAACATATTCTTAGTTTCTTACCATTTTAATATCTTGCCTTTTTGATACTACAATCAAATCCAAATTAATTAACAGATACTTCTATGAAACATATAAATCTGCTTATATAAATCTGTGGGGATATACTCAGTCTGGGAAAACTTTATAGATATAAAAAGTTCTGCTCAGCACAGAGTTGGCATTCTGCGCAGAGGGCATTTAGGAAGAAAATTTATGCCATGCTGAAATTTATAGCACAGCAGCAGCTAGTTCATTCATACAGGAGAATGTGTTAGTCAGTGACTTGTTCCCAATAACTCAAGCAGTCAGCAGGAGAGCTAGCCAATAGTGCCCATGAACCTGCACAACTGGTAGGTGAATATCACTACTCAGAATTGAGTTTAAGAGTGCTTCCAAATGAGCAGATCCTATCCAATTGTTGGTCTTCTGCTACAAGCATGAAATTGCAGCCGACTTTCCACATCACTCAGAACATGTTGCACTGCATGTTTGTAACATCTCTCCATTGTTATTATTATTAATTACTTATACCCCACCCATCTGGCTGGGTTTCCCCAGCCACTCTGGGAGGCTTCCAACAGGAGATTAAAAATACATTAAAACATCAGTCCTTAAAAAACTTCCCTAAACAGATCTCCAGATCTCTCGAGGACTTCATTTCTGACTCTATAGCACAAAGATGTTGTTCAATGGGGTGTGTGTGTGTGTTTGATTCAGGGTAGGATCTTGCGATAAAGAGGGCAGGCAAAGCTAAGAAGAATCAGTCTTTTCTCCCAAGTCTCTTGAACAAAGCTAAACATGAGGTGCTGGGCATTAAAGGATAGGGAAATGGGTTCTGCAAATATCAAAACTGCACCTCTTTCAAAAGGCAGGTGAGTCTTTCTAAAGCTGTCAATAGTTGTGAGGCTTCTGCTACGCGTTCATAGTTTTTGAAGTTGTATTTTCTGAGGCATAAGAATACATGGAAGCATCATGGAAGAAACATACTAGGAAGTCCATGATGTAACAACTTTGTGTGGAGTAACAATTTCAGTGTAAATACCTCATTTGAAAGCACCCTAAGCTCAGGACAAGGAACTGGGTATGCAGAAAGCCCTATTGCGCACTTGATAATTACACTATTGGACACTCCAGCAAATGCATGTATCAGTGAGGAGAACACTAAAAGGCAACAAACATGGCTTACTTCCTCAACTGCTACTGATAAGATAGTTAAGTACATCCTGAGCCTGTGCATAGACGTGATATGGGCTAGACATATTCGGTGTTCATCCATATAGTGGGCCATGTATGTGTCTGATTTTAACATCAAAAGGTCATGTGCTTCAGAGGAACTGAACCCTCCCTGTGGTCTGTTGACCGCAGCAGTTTTAGTCTAGTCCAGCTCATTCTGGAGCTTGGCTATGTGAAAAGAGGTAAGGAGGTAACGTGGAAAATGAAGCAGGACTCAGTTTCCCTCAAGAACACATAATAATATAGACATGGATGGGAAACACACTTGAACATTATTGTGGCTGCTCCAGGGAGAAAGAATAAACTATGTTTTCTTCTTCCCCGAGTTCCAATTTCTAAATGAAACTAGCATCACATACAGATTAGGATTTATACCCCATTTGATAGTTCGGAAACTTGGGAGGCAGAGTGAGGGAATGAAAGGTTTTATAGTTCTCGTCCATCACAAACAAAATATTAATGATTTTCTCTTATGAAAGAAGATTAAACCTATTCAGGGTTTAAGAGAATTGAAATGTTAGCAAAATGTTAAGTCATAGGAAGAGCACCACAATGCCTGGATAATTAGGAAAGTATTTCTGCAGTCTCGAGAGCTAAATCCTAAGCACCAATAATTGCAGGCTACTGAGTTAACTGGAGCAAAATAAATGGATTCAATTTAGGTGGCCTGAATTTAATTGCAATATGAATTAGGAACTTATTTAAGGAGATAGCAATCCGAAATAATAGGCAAAGTGCTCAGTCATGTAGTTCCACTAGTCAGATTTACAATCTCTTTTTCTTTTCTTATTTTATATAGACAAATTAGCAAACTACATTTCCCAACAATTAGCTGTTACATGCTGTAACACAATGACCCATTATATGAGATAGCACCAACCTAGTACACACACATTCCAGAACTTAGACCAACAGTAGAATTACTACAGTAGATACACAACACCCTATGTTTTGATGGAGTATTGCCCTGAATCTACTGACTGTAACCCTAATTCTGAACCACAGTCAAGCTCATAGACTTTACACTCCAGCCCACAGCTTCCTGTTGCTTGTGATTCCTCTTGCTGAATGGTGGACATCCATTCTGTAAAGGCTTGAGTTATAACAGTTTTCTAGTTCCCCAAACCACTACAAACATCAAATCCAAACAAAATACATGCAGGTGATTTGAAATTATCTGTTGAAATCATGTCTAGCACATATTTGGAAACACCTGAATATACCAGATGTGCTATCCTGGATTAAGAAATTAAAGGTCCCGGCAATGAAAAGAAAAATATTTCATTAATGAAGTGACAATACAATCAGACACTTTCAGATTGAGTTGGGGTTATTCTATTGACACACCCCCCCCCCGGACCACAGTCAGGAATGTGGTTCTGATAACGCTTTACTGAGTATGAAAAGAATATTTAGGCTTTTAATCTTTTATCTTTGTGGAAAACAGTTGCATTTTCAATAATATTCTCAGCAGGTTACAGCATCTCTATTCTCTACTGTAAGATATTGATTTTCTGCAGATGAGGATCAAGAATTCTGCTTGCATCATTTAAAATCAGACTAAATCACACTCAAGAGTAGCCCCACTGAAACTGATGCACCTTAGTTACAACTAACTCAAGTCAGAAGGTCTACTTGTTTTGCGACCGGGATCCGTTCCGGAGCCCCGGCTGCTAGCCAGTCAAAGTGGATGCTAGATGAGGTGGACGTTCGCAGAGGTATTATTGTATTGTCCATAGTTATAAGTGAAACCGAAACAACAATTGCTCATGCCATTTAACAAAAAAAGGTTTGTGTTACCTTGAAATACCTCCCCCTGTTACTTCACGCAAGAGACGGCAATGGAGAGGAACAAACTCCAGCAATTTGTTGTACATGGTCTGGAGGCCATTAGGACGAGATTGAACAAACTGTTCCACAATCACCTGTTAAAGAACATTTAGTATCAAATTGAAGATGCAAGACAAGAATTCCAGTGCAAAAAAGATTAAAATATCTTCCATCTACAGCCCGAAGTCAATAATTACTGTATTATCATAGCAATGCTCAAAATGCTGCTTAACAGGAGATATAAAACAGTTAAATTAGCTTTCAGTTCCTACATGCAACAGCCTCCCGATGTTGTAACACACTGATACCATATTTTTTTTAGCACCTGAACATATTCTAGGTCTAGTGGCAAATATTATTTATTAAATTTGTAGATCTCAGGGCAGTACACAACATAAAAATGCAAGATAAAAATACAAATGGTCAAATAACCTGCTTTATGCTCTAACTTTCTTTCTGCTGAGTTCTTTTTCATAAGTCAGGAAGAGCCCCAGGAGTACTAGACATATATACAAAACACAATGTATTCTCCTGAGTCAGCTGCCTCCAGCTTCACTTACCTCATCTACATATGGTTTCACAAGCACTTCACCAACTAACGCTTCAGCATCCCGTGTTTTGTCTATTGTTGCATAGGTTCGCAAGCAATGACGGATTATGTCAATGTTGGAAGTTTGAAGGCCTTCTAAAAGCAGTCCTTCCAGGGACTGCTGCAGCATTGCTGTTATCCCAACTATTCGCTATGATTTTCAAAAAAAGAATGAAAAGAATTGTTATTGCTGTGCCAGAAAAATTAGAAATACCCACTAGTTTTATTTAGTCATTTAAGAACTGCATTATAGCCTCAAAAACCACCAATCACCAATATACTGTATTTTTCCAAGACGATGCTTTCTGCTAAAAAAAAATCAGGCAAAAATTGGGAGTCATCTTATACAGGGATAGTGAATGCAGAGGGGGGATGTGCGATTAATGGCAGCAGCAAGCAGGAGATTGGCAGTGGCGATTGGGCGGGTGATTGGTGGCTGTGGCAAGGCCTGCTGGCAATTGGCTGTGGCAACTGGGTAGGCAATTGGCAGCTGTGGCGAGGAGGGCAGGTGATTGGTGGCTGCGGCAAGTGGGCGGGCGGGCTGTTGGTGGCAGGAAGTGGGCAGACAATTGGCGGCTGCGGCAAGGTGTGCGATCGGCAGTGGTGGGCAGGCGGGTGAGCGATTGGCGGCAGTGACCTCCCCTACCCCCCCAAAAAGCTAAGCAACTTAATTTCTTAATTTTTGGTAAAAAAAATAGGGGTTGTCTTATACATGGGGGCGCCTTATAAACGAAAAAATACAGTAGGTTAAAATTCTAATCTGAAGTTTACCAGAAATCCAACCCTTAATGATTTTTATAAATTATTATTGAATGGCTGTTTAAAATTAAATTGTTTTAAACAACATGCTTGAATATTTGGGAAAAATAACATTGGTTGAGGTATAATTTGAGTTAATATTACATTTATTACATGCATTTGCTACTAACAGTAGGAAAACTACTACTCCTACAAAGTTATAATTACTGAAGAGTGCTGATCATTGTACTCACAACAAAACTGACATACTGCATTTTTTAGAGTTCTGGATGGTAAACACTGCTGAGCATGTGGGTTAAAAGTGTAAAAATTTAAAACAATTTGTTCTTTACATACTGGAGCAGTAAATACATACAGTTTTAATTGATAGACATGATTTGCTTATTTTTATAAATACCGTATTTTTCGCTCTATAACACTCACCTGACCATAACATGCACATCGTTTTTAGAGGAGGAAAACAAGGGAAAAAACATTCTGAATGAAACAGTGGATGTATCATTTTTGTGCTTCATGCTGTGGCCACAGACACGTGATCTGATGGTGAATTTGGGGTGACCCAATGCAAAGATCCTGAGGATCCATGTGGATCCATGCTTTTTAACCACGTTTTTGCACCATTGCAGCCCCAGGCAACAGTGGGTGCGTGATTTTTGGGGGGCAGGCTCTAGCCATGGACATGCTATGTGATCTGATGGTGAATTTGGGGTGACCCAATGCAAAGATCCTGAGGATCCATGTGGATCTATGCTTTGTAACCACGTTTTTGCACCATTGCAGCCCCAGGCAACAGTGGGTGTGTGATTTTGGGGGGGCAGGCTGTAGCCATGGACATGCTATGTGATCTGATGCTGAATTTGGGGTGACCCAATGCAAAGATCCTGAGGATCCATGTGGATCCATGCTTTTTAACCACGTTTTTACACCATTGCAGCCCCAGGCAACAGTGGATGTGTGATTTTGGGGGGGCAGGCTGTAGCCATGGACATGCTATGTGATCTGATGGTGAATTTGGGGTGACCCAATGCAAAGATCCTGAGGATCCATGTGGATCTATGCTTTGTAACCACATTTTAAGTGGGGAGGGAAGGAAAAACAAAGAAGGGAAAAGGAGCATGAGAGGGGTGTGCAGAGAAGCAGCTGGCTAAGAATGCAGGAGAGGGATTTAACGAGAGGGATTTAACGGGAGGGAGGAAAGAAAGGCAAAAGTTTCCCCCCACCCAAGCACCCAAACCAGCCAGCGCTCTCTCTCTCTCTCTCCCCCCCCCCCACCTGCATGTTGCCTGCTAGTCCCTAGACGCAGCACCGGAGCACAGAGAGGAATTAGAAGGAACGACTCTGCTTTCCCCTCTGCTTGCCTGGAGGGGAGGGGCTTTCCCTGCTCTTTGTTCCGTTTGAGCAAACACAGCAACGAAACAGAGGAGGGTGGGCAGTAAGACCCTGAGGCAGAATGCAGGAAAGCAGCCACTTCCTCTTTTCAGGTTTCCCTTCTCCGTGACTCGCGATTTGATTTTTGTCTGATTTTTTGGCTCCAGGGACCACACATTCGCTCCATAACACGCACAGACATTTCCCCTTCCTTTTTAGGAGAAAAAATCTGCGTGTTATAGAGGGAAAAATACGGTATATTTTTTAAAGCCTTAGCTGAGATAATTGGTGATTCACCTGCCAGAAGGCAAATAGAAATGAAAGCATTTCAGTCTTCAACAAACAAGATTTTAGGGACTTTAAGGAGAAAAGATCACATTGGCTGACTAACTGTTTGGTAACAGATACAATTTTTGCATTCTTCTTGTTCATCACAACTACAGTCCAAGATAAATGCATGAACTTTCATAATGGTAGCACCACTGAAAGTCCACAATATTATTATTATTTAATTGCAACAACTTTTTTTTGTAAAACAAGGCAACATACTTACTGGTTTCAGCTTGTCTAGGAGTGGCATTCCTTTGCTCTGTACTGCATGAAACTGCAACTGGTTGAATTCTGTGGCAATTCTTTCTAAAATCTGTCCAGTCAGAAGTGGACTTGCAAAGGAATTGGCACACATCAGGATATGATTTTGATAAATGGCAGCAGATAATCATAATCATAACCTCTCCCCCCTTCACACAAACACAGTCTCTTCCTTTATCTGTATATATGCAAGTTCATGTGATTTCCTCCCAGCTCCCAACAATCCCTTTGCATTTAGCATGACCAAGAAGATGCCGCAACAGGGCTATGCAGTTAGAAACAGGCTTGACTCTTAATGGCAGAAGCTTTCAGAGGCCTCAGGGCAAGGGACAGGTAATTCTGCGTCCCTTGGTGCAGCCCCTTCTTGTCTTATGCCTGGGCAAACCCTACCCAGTACCTCCAACACAATAGAGGCCACATGGGATTATGCAACATGTCTACTCAAACCAGCTTCAAAGCAACTGAAACATGCCAGAACATAGAAGCTGTTCCAGGCCCTGTCTCCTCTGTCAATTCCAAGGAGTGTCAGAATCCCAGGTGGATCTCCTATCTTCAGAGACCAGCTAGTGAACCCTTGCAAAGCCTACAGATATGCTGAGAGATTTGTGAAAACAGGCAAGACAAATGGGCGTTTGCATTTTAAAAAGATGTACTGAATGCAAAGACCAAGAAGATTTCAGAGGCTATGAAAATGTTCCAGTGTTATGTCTTCATATGTGATGTTTTTCTTATGGTGGTATCACAACACGTAAGTACAGTGCATGCTCTGTCCATCATACATGAAGAATGCATACCTGACTGTTTCACTAAGCAAGGGATCAATCATAGGTTTCTACCACATATACAGGTCATGAAACAGGCACTGTGTCTTGCACAGGTTTGTGTGCACATACGTAGAAACAAGATCTAAGCAGGGAAAACATGACCATAGCTCCCTTTTGTTGCTGGCACAAGATAAACAACAACAACAACCATAGAGCCATAGGGAAAATCTACAACTAATTTACTCCAGAGCAGCCCTATGAAAGTCAACAGACTGCTCCACAAAAGGGTACACAGGTGGCAGGACAGGTGCTCTGCTAACTGTAAAACGGCATTTGCTATTTTGGCATGTTATTATGACAGGAGCAATTGGTGTATCACGAACTAACTTCTTTAAATAGTTGCTTCCTCCCACTTTGGAGTTTCAAGATGCTGGTATATAGATTTCAAAGACAGACAGAACTAAGCAAAAGCAATTTGCTAATCCCATACCTGCTTCCTTCCAGTGATGACATTTCTTTAGAATTTTGGGAGTGCAGAATTTTCTCAATTTTCTCAACTGCTTTAATAACTTGAATAAGTCTCAGGACACACATCTGGTTGGTGAGGGGAGAAACAAAGAAAATAAAAACTTCTCGTATTGAATCTGATCTATTTTCTTCCCAACAAATTTGCAGGTATTTTGGGGAAATGATTTGACTCAATAGGTAAGGAGCTGGAAGTAATAAACCTATTACAATGTGATCTCTGAAGTGCACCACTATGCCAAAGGGACCCCCACTTCTCCACTGCTGAGGTGGATAATTGTATGCAGCTCCCAGTTAAACCTGATGATTCTTGGCATAAAGGCAGGGGAGGTGTGCTGTGTCAGAACTGTAACACATATTAAAGACAGTGCCTTCTGTTACCACATTCAAAGGAATGCATGAGAAAAAACAAGGAACCCAAACGACAAAAACTCCCTATGATGGCCTTTGTCCATGTTTACCGTCATTTAAATGCATACTGTTCAGTGCAAGTGGGAAACAGTTTAAACAGTGCAATCCTACACATAGCTATTCAGAATTAAGTTCCACTGAGTTCAATGGGACTCACTCCCAGATAGGTATGTATAGGACTGCAGCTGGCAGAGCAATTCAAAAGAGGAAGGGAAAAAGAATCTAAGGCAGAGAAACTACAAAATCCAAAGCTCTGTCAGGCTCATGTAGAGAGGGTAAACTTGTTTTTCCTCCCTTGCCATTATCTCTGAGGTCCTGTCCATCAGTTTCCCTCCCATAGGTTTCTATGCTTCCTGCTCTGAGTCTTGTGCAGTTTCCTCCTTAGCTTGGTAATGTACTAGAGGCATGAGAGCACTTTAGATTCAAGGCCTCCTTCGATCCATCCTGACACACCTCTTTTTTTTCTCACTTTCATTTGAGCACTGACAGGAAAGGGAAGATGTCCACAAAGCTTCCTACAGCCACAACAAGGTAGCCTCCAATGAAGGATCTCCCTTTCTACGGCCAAAGGGAAAGGTGTATTCTATCCTATAACTCCTAGAACACTCTTCAAGAGGACATAGGTCATGCCTTGAGAAAGTGTGTTAGAAAAAGTAAGGCTCTGATCTTCTAGTAAAGCAAATCTGCCTTTACTAGTGCCTTTTCATTTTGCCATGTCAGAAGATTGCATGAAGTGCTCTCAAACTAACGAATAAATTTCCATATGGTGGTATATATGTTCATTTTGCCCTTTTGCCATAAAAATGCAATAAATGGATCTGCTTGTTGTACCTTTTTCGCCCTGATATCTTCTTGTTTAGACACACGTTCATCAATTGCTCGAATTCCTTCACTGACACATGACTTAAGACTCTGGAAAGAAAAAACATACACACACTCTCCATATTTCCTCCCAATTAAAACAAGCAGTTCTGTGCACATATGAGTTAACATCTCTCACACAGATTAATCACATCTTTTGTGCCTTTCTAAAATGCATAAGCAAGTTATGAACGAGGCCAAAATATTTATTCAAAGCCAAATCTCAGGTGCTGGACACCTCCTACTATGTGCTCAGCTGGAGCTCCTTTCCCTGGAGAAATATCACTTATTCCAGCTTGTGCTATAGTGACTGCAAACCCATCTATCTTTTGCAACAAGATTTTCCTATGCTGAGCTACATTTGAAAAGAAAGGTGGACATGACAGGAGACTGCAGGGCTTGTTGGCCATAGGCAATTTCCAATTGAGCATGATCAGGGACACATTGCAATCCAACTGGCACCATCCCACTGTTGATATAACTTCTGTTTGTTTCTGATAATTCCTAAGGTCCCTTTCCAATATTATCTTAGCAGCATGGGAGCCAACGCTGTATTTTTCCAGTGCTACTTCAGTAAACTGGGATGTCTGAGGTAACAGGCAACGCAATGCTGTTCATCTTGGAAGCTTAGTCAATAGTGACGTAGTCTCCCATGTACCTGGGGCTTTCATCATTCCTATGTCAGAATAAGAAGGAACATCCTTCCCTGATCTAAGGTAAAGTGTACCTTACAAGTTCTGGATGGCAGCTCCCCTACTGCTTTCTGTGTGGGAGCATCATTTCTGAAGAACATAACCCTTTACAAATTTCATTTTCAGAGCCTTATTAGATTTCAGTAGAGCCACTTATAATCATGAGTTTCCAGGCAGTGACAAGACAAAAGGAGTGTAGCTCCTGGTTCATTAGGTAGATTAGTAATGAAACGGTTATGGAGAGTGAGGAGTGGTGGTAAAAGAGCTCAGGGAAATTAAATATGAGGAAATTCAGCCCAAACAGAAGCAACGCTTTATGTCTTGCTTTCAATTTAATCTAACTGCGGTCCTGTAGAAAAAGAAATGTCTCAATATCTAGAAATTATTCTAGTTATCTTTTCAATCAATTGGTTCAGAGACATTCCATCCAGTTTCTATTATTTCAGTTCATGAGGTCACCTAGCTAATCTTGCATGTGTTCCTGGTTATTAATATTATTTCCTATTTTAATGCCATCTGCATATTTAATCAACACAGCCCTACTTTCCTTTCCAACACATAATACATTTAACTTTTAGGAAAAAAAGAGGTGAATGAAATAAATAATTTGTTTTTTAGAAACAAGTATTTGCTGTTCTAGGGAGAAAAAAGAAATTGTTTGGCTAAATATACTTAATGCATAGTAAAGGTAAAGGGACCCTGGACCATTAAGTCCAGTCGCGTACAACTCTGGGGTTGTGGTGCTCATCTCACTTTACTGGCCGAGGGAGCCGGCGTACAGCTTCCGGGTCATGTGGCCAGAATGACTAAGCTGCTTCTGGTGAACCAGAGCAGCACATGGAAATGCCATTTACTTTATGCATAGGTTAACATAAATGTATGCCTGTAGTGTTCTTGTCTCTGTTCTTACCACACAGTTAAGGCTCCTAAAATGGTTTCTAAATGTTCTGACAAAATGTATTTTGCTGCTTCATGAAATCCCCTATGTCAGCCCCATACAGAATTTATTTGGTTTCTCAATATTTTCAAAATCAGACAAATGATATGAGAAGTTATTTCAGAACATACCATAACTTCCTCTCGCAGTTGTCCTAAAGGCACTGAAAGCTGATTAAGGGCTTTGTCCATGCCAACCTAAATAAATTGTCCAAACATATTACATATTACGATTAATGAGCAGTTGAAACTGTGTATGTGAAGATATATATTTTGTAACAAATTACATTTCTATTGAAAACAAATGTAAAAAATGTTTACAATCAGTACTTCAGAAGACATCCCAACTAGCAAGTAATCCTGACTATTATATTTTCCTAATGGCTGGCTGTCATTGGTACAACAACAGAAATGACACTTGCACATTGCTAACTTGCAATCTCTGGCGAGCTGGCTCCAATCCTGCACAGAATTATCTGTGAATGACTGCTGAAATCAACACAACATAAACTGGACAAAAATGGAAGACTGTGTGTCCACACACTATATATGTGCAGAGTGTTCAATAGGTACCTTATCTTCAGTGCTGTTATCAGCACCCCATGTCAACTAAGAAGACAGAACAAGGATCTGGACCAAACGGACCCATTTCAAATCTACACTCAGCCAGGAAACTCATTTAGTGGTATGGAACAAGTCATCCTAATGCACATTAGAAGACTTTTAAGAATTGCATATTCTATCTATTTTCAAAAGTATCAAATGCTATAAAAAAACAAAATCTTATCTATCCATTCATACTCCTTGAAGGAAAAGTGGGATGCAAATATGATGTGAGAAAGAGCTTTTTATATATATTTTTTACCCCTGGACTGTTTAACCTCTCTTTTCTAGCATGCATCAATTCACAGCAATTGCACACACTTTTTCATATTACAGCTAAGAGATTTTAATCCAAAGGTGTTTTTTTATTTACCAGCTGTCTTCCTTCTGTATATTGTAGTATCCTGTGACATCCAGCACACCCACCTCAAACAGCCTATTCACATACCAAACCCTTGTCTAGAAGCTTCCAGTACCTCCTTAAAATGTAAGGCCCTCCAAACATTGCTGGACTACAACTCCCATCATCACTGACCATTGGCACAGTGACTGGGGCTGACAGGAGATGCAATCCCACAACGTATGTAGAGCCACAGGACCCTGCTTTTGGAAGTCTGTTGAATATTAGCATCTTCAAATATATGTTATTAGTATACTTAAACACTAAGATTAGTACATATAAAACATCCAATTTGAAACTTACTAGATTGGTGGAAAGATTAACAAAGTCTGCATAATCCTTGTTTATGAGCTCTATCATGGCAGTTTTAAGAAGTTTGTAGTAGAGCTCAAGATCATCCCGAAGCTCTTCCAACTGAACACGTTTCCTGCACTCTGACACAAAGTGATCGACATCGAAATCTGGCTATATATGAAACAGGTAAATAATAATAATCATGATTTAAGAAATGGCTCATAACAGAAAATGCAATTCCTTGTAAAAGCAGTTTGTGTTTATCTAACTTCCAAGCATGCTTGAAGTGAAGGGATAAAAATGAGGCCCATGGACTAGGAAAAGTTTTTGTTCTTAATGAAACACTAAAATATAAGATGTGTAAACACAGTCTTATTGGTTTGTTAAAGTGCTTTCTGTCTGTAAAGCCTAACTAATTGGTACTATTCAAAATAATATTAATAATAATAATAATAATAATAATAATAATAATAATAATAATAATTTATTACTTCTACCACCCATCTGACTGGGTTGCCCCAGCCACTCTGGGAGCCTTATAACAGAGTATAAAAGAACACATGATACATCAGACATTTAAAGCTTCCTGATACAACGCTGCCTTCAGATGTCTATGGAAGATCATATAATTGTTTATCTCTTTGACATCTCATGGGAGGGCGATCCACAGGGTGGGCACCACTATCGAAAAGGACTTCTGCCTGGTTAATAATAATAATGGGTCTGACAGCATAAGACCATAAGAAGAGCCCTTTGGCCTAATGGCCAAAGGCCCATCTAGTCCAACATCCTGTTCACACTGTGCCCGACAAGATCCCTATGGGAAACCTAAAAGTGGGACATGAGTGCAACAACAAAGAATGTTTTAAAGTTGTATAATTGCTTACATCCAGGAATCCCCTTTATTTTATTTTTTTAGATATTCCGAACAGCAGTTTTTCAAGGAGACAGCTATATGTCCAGAATTAGAATCACTGAACTGTAGAGTTGGAAGGGGCCTTGGATCATCCAACCCAAATTCCTGCAATGCAGGAATAGGCAGCTATTGAACCCATAATCTTATCAGCACCATGCTCTAACCAATGGAGCAGCACATTCTGAAAGAGCCAGTCTCCGTGTATGATGGACAGTAGTAGTACTATGACAGGTGAAATATAAAGAGCTGCCTGGCAGGCCGCAACACAGGGATGCCTCACAGGATCAGAGGACCCAAATCCAAGAGGGGCGTGAGTTCACAGGAAACATCCTGGCTGGGGCATCTAGATTTTAAAGGGGTTCAGACTTAAAAATGTGTGCGTGCAACATACACAAAATATAAAAAACCTACACAAGATGCATGTCATGCACAGGCAGCATGGACTTCCTTGTGGGAATTGAATAATGTGTGAACGGGGCCAGCAATAGGAAGTGTACATATTCATCTATTAAAAAGAGGTGCATATGCCCCTATCTCCCCCAAATGGAGAAAAACAACCTATAAATCTCCTCTGACAACCCTACTAGGAGAAAAATGAGCTACTTTGAAGGGCTTTCCGGGAGGGGGCAGGACTAGAGCTTCCCTGGGGTGGCGCGGCCTGCGAGTCACTCCAGCCCAGCCAGGGTCTCCCACAGACACGCTTCTCCCCCTACCATCTCCCCACACCTCCCAAGTTGCCCCTCCTCTCCCTTCAGCCCCGGCTTCGGCCCAGCCCGGCGCCCTCCTGCCCAGGGGCCTCCGCCTCCTCACCTTCATAAACTCGTCCTTGTCGAAGCACAGGTTTTCGGGTCCCCGCGGTAGGTTCATATTCCACGTCTCCATGGCTGGCTGGGCTCCGCTCCCTCCCTCCCGGCGACCCGGGGCCGCCACGTCTCTTTCCCGGATCTCCGCTCGGCTTCGGCTTCGCAGTCGACACAAAATGTACGCGCGCGCGCCACACTTCCGCCAGCACCGCGGCGCCGAGACCGGGCACCGCCGGCCGCCTCCTGCGCTCGGGAGGGCGGCCTCCAGCGGCCTCCGGCCTCACTGCAGGCGCGCTCGAGGCCTCCTCCTCGGGACGGGATGGAGCGTCGTAGTCGTGGGTCGGGGCCGGGGGTCCCGTCTTCTCATTCTCGCCCTGGGAAGCGAATACCGGGAGGAAAAGGGTCTGACCTCGGCCCCAGAATTTATTTTCCAGGCCCGAGGTCGACGCCAACCTATGTGGAAGGGGAGTCTTGGAAGAACTTCGGGGCTGCAGACTTGGGTGGGAAAGTAGGCGAGGCAGGTGCTGCGCAGGGAAACTTTCCTGCCTCACAGTTTCCTTACGCGAAGCCACTTGCTTTAGTAGACAAAAATACGGCAAGGATTAAAAATTAAGCATGGCCATGGTTGTCCGGAACGTCCTAAACTAGGGAAACAGCCCTCCGCCACCAGGGAATATGAGAAAAAGAATATAGAGTACAGTATCATGAGTGTAGCCAGGATTTTTGTTAGGGCCCCCCAAAAAAGTTGTTGGGAGATCGTGAGTAAAAATCACCACCTCAAAAGGGGCGGGCTTTTGTGGGGACGGGGGAGCAAAACCTCAATTAATTGAGTAATGCTTTTCAATAATTTTTGGCTAAACCCATGCAGGGTACCATGTTTGTAAAAGTTTGCAGATTTTGGATATGTGTGTGTGGTAGTGTTGGGTTGTTTTAATAAGGAACATGACAGAGATCGGATTACTACTTCGCAATGTAAATCTAGTACAGCCCTAAATTCCATAGGGCTATAAATGGAGGGACAAGCAATTAAAAGTACTGCCATCATTATCATTGCTGCTAGAAGTGGGGTGGGTGGGGATTTATAGCAAGCATCTCTGTAGGTAGATTTCTGCTGGGCCTGTGAAGAGACGCAGCCTGAAAGAACATGTAGGATCAAAGTAGGCTAGGTAAGGTTACACAGTTCAGGTAGCAGATTGTGGCATGCAGATATATTTTCAAGACCATGGGAAGTGTGTTGCTCTGACCCTCTCTCCAGCTTGCTGCTTTGCTTCTAGCTCACATCACCATAAACTCTGCCCTCAACTCTGCCTCTGTCTTTTGAATTATCCCACCCAATTGCCACCTTGCACAGAGCCCCTTTCCTTTGTTTCCCTTAATGGCCCATCACCCAGGCAATCGCCCCCAAAGCAGGAAGCTAGCCTGGCTTATATTTTAACACTGGCTGGGGTTAGAAGGGTCTTGTCATACAGCCTACAAGCTCGTCTCCCAAATTCATAACAGAATCACTTGGAACTCTGACTGAAATCCAGAGGAAGCAGGAAACATACTGAAAACAGTATGGCTTGCTATTGTGTAAAGATGCATAGAATCACACTGTCAGTGATGTACCCAGTAAAGGTACACACAATACCTTTAAAGCACATTTGAAGCGCATTCTTTCCTTCTGGACAGTGTGCCTTTACTGGCATTTCTTGTTTCCCTCTAAACATAGTTTGTGGTACATAGTCAAAGATGCTCCCCAGCCAAAGGAATGCACACGGCAGATAACTCTTTGTTGTCAAAGATAGCACAGTAGTTTCTATGGCTCTGAATACCCATGCACACCAGTGCACACACTAGGCAGCTGTTCCCAGATCCACACTCTAAGGAGTAGTAACAGGGAGCCACTCCTCCACCAGTTTATGTACCTCCCCACAACAGGCTGCACTCACAGCTGGAGACTACATCTGCATGGAAGTTTTCTCTGCTCATCCCTCTTCAATCCCCTCCTGGTTCTGGGAAACAGTGGTGCAGGAGAGGGTGGGGAAGCACCCAGCTCCTTCACTTGCCTGACCTGCCTCTTCTTCCAGCTCATCCTGTGCTCCACCCTCCAGCTCTGTAGCTTCCCCTGCCTCTGGTTCTTGCCTCCTGGCCGGTACAGTTCCCACAAATCACTGTCCCCCTCTCCTGAGTCAGACTCCAGCCCCCTTCCCCCAGTGCACACTTGTCAGCATCCTGCCAGTCCCTGACATACAGTACATCCAAATTGGACAATTTGACCTCCAAATCAGGTTTTAAGACCGTGGCTTGGAGATTAGAGCTAACCAACTGCCTGATTCAAACATCACGGCAAACTATGGTTAAATCAACCAGAAAATGGAGGAGCCAATCAGTGTGGCAAGAGCTACTTGGTGTGCTTGTATCCAGTCCCACACAATGAATTAGATACTTCTTTCACTAATTTTACACTCTGGACTGATAATTTTTTCCAATCACATTTTATTTCTGATTTTCCGTTACAGGCAAGTCCTGTATGCCCTGAGCATTACAGTTGTTTATTCTGTCATCTGCTGGCTCAGCTGCACTCTGTGGAGAGATCTCTTTCACACAATCCCTTCAAACTGTGGGAAAATTGTGTTTTTAATTACCTCTTAGGGGACCTTCCAAGTACTTAATCTGCAGTCCTTGGTTGACACCGGATTAATAGATACCTGTCCTTCTGCAAGCCCTTGGGAAGGCCACAGGTGGAAGATCTGAAAGTCATTAGAAATGATTTTCTGGTTGCGGAACCAGTACCAAATTAGTGTAAAAATGAGGAGAGATTGATAAACAATCTGCAGAATACTAGTTTTTAAAGACCGAAATTGTTTTTAGAACCACCTTCATGTGATAAAGTTGCCCTTCTCTTGAAGGCTCCCTGTGACTAATTCCCTATCTTGGAAAAGCTATGAGTCCAAAGACATTAGTTAAATCAGAATGCAAAGAACTATCTTCTGCCTCTGGCCTCACAAAGTTTCCCCTGACATATTTTTCTCCCTAAAGAAAATGTTTTGAATTTAGCAGCACACCAAAAATACACCAACTGGAGCATTCAAAGTCATAGCTATTATCATAACTAAAAAAGGACGACTTAAGCCAATAAAAATAACTTGAAACATGCCATGTACCCACTAGTGTGAAAACTCCACATGATTGCACAGATAGATATTATAAGCATCTCATAAATGTTATGGTTCCTGCAGTTAGCTCTACTGCTGGTGTTTTTTGGTTTTTTAAAAAATATTTTGAGACTGATTTCCCCTCTATCCATTATTTTCAGTTGTACTGCCAGTTACCTACAAAACAGGTAAATAGTTGAAATGCAGTTTCCGAAATGTAAGATGTCTTGGTCAAAAATATTGTTAGTTGAAATCCCAGACTTTGACTTGATTTTCAACAGTTTTCAACAGTTTTCAACAGTTGCAAATCTTTTATCTCACTTTTATTCCTTTCTTACTTATAAGTAGGTATTCTGCTCACTCCTGTGTAGTTTTCAGGTACAAATCCAGAACATACTGAAAATCCTTGTCATTAAATTTATTGCTGTACTGTAAGAATTTACTGGATAGCTAGCTACCATTGTCTGGCATAGTCTGGCAAGACTGGCCCGTACGGGCAGGGGTACCTTTACCTTTACTTTAGCTACCATTAAAAAAGGTAGGTAAAGGTACCCCTGCCCATACGGGCCAGTCGTGTCCGACTCTAGGGTTGTGCGCCCATCTCACTTAAGAGGCCGGGGGCCAGCGCTGTCCGCAGACACTTCCGGGTCACGTGGCCAGCGTGACAAGCTGCATCTGGCGAGCCAGTGCAGCACACGGAAACGCCGTTTACCTTCCCGCTAGTAAGCGGTCCCTATTTATCTACTTGCACCTGGGGGTGCTTTCGAACTGCTAGGTTGGCAGGTGCTGGGACCGAGCAATGGGAGCGCACCCCGCCGCGGGGATTCGAACCGCCAACCTGACGATCGGCAAGTCCTAGGCGCTGAGGTTTTACCCACAGCGCCACCCTTTGCATGGCAGTAATTCACATAAATTTCAGTGACATTGCTTTTCAATGGAAATTGAGACCAGCATTCTTGCTTGTCATTAAGTATGTCTGGCTCCCTTATTTATTTATGAAAGTATGTGTATGCCACTTTTGGTGTTAGGATGATGCACATGTCTCTAGTGGTCATCAGCCAAAGCAAACCGACTGGAGGTCTCATGAGCGAGGCTTCCAAAGCACATCTCAGTGCCCAGACAACCAGGCTCATATATATGCAGGTTGTGCTTCAAATAACTCAGTCCCAAATCATTTAGGACTTTAATGATTAAATTGGTGCAGAATGCCCGAATAACAGATGACCAGAAACATTATGCACCAGTTTCCAAACTGTCTTCAAAGGTAGCCCTACAAAACAGCATTTTACTAGTTTCACCTGGATTTGACTTGGGCATGGATTACTGAGGTCTGACCTCTCTAAATAAGTGCACAGCCAGCACGCACATACACACACATCCTGCAAACCCCATAGTATCAAATTTAAATTCATAGAAAGGTGGAAGAGATTTAGGGTTATCTGTAACTCCAAAGTAGAAACATCATGAACAAATATGTTTGAATCCAGGTGACAACTGGGTTTAATTGAATGATTTTGGAAACAATGGGATGGAAAACATCACTTTCAACCTATTGGATCAGGGCATTTTGTCTAGTGTTATCTTTAAACTGGGATAGCCCATGGAGTTTTTGTCAAGAATAGACTCTTCTCACTGATAAAGTAATAGGAGAAAAAGAGTGGGTTGTAGTCAAGTAAGTCAGAGTAGATCCATTGAAATGAATGAATGAATCCTAACTTTAGTGAGTCTACTCTGAGTACGACTAACACTGAGCACTACCTAATGCCTTTATAACAAATCAGTTTTGCTGGTATCTCTGTTGGTGAGAAAGGAACAGAGGCAGCAATATGATACCTGCAGCTACCTTTATTGCAACTACACTGTCACAATCTGCTCGTGCAAAAGTAGGTCAGATCCGTAAGGCAAAATGAGCTCGGGTTTCTGACGAAATTCAGCTGGGCTGATTAGATAAATGAATATAAACTTGCATCTGTGCACAAAGCCAGATGTCTAGTAACACTAGTGCCTAAATTGAGCCTGGTGATTGTCCTTTGGCTTGCTGAAGAGGGCAGTAAGAAGATTTTTCTCCTCTTATGTGTGCTGCT